CCCAAACCCCCTCCACCTCCGGTCGCCACGCTTGGCCTCGGCCGGAATGTTTTGGTCCCATTTTGCAAGCGGCACTTGCCTCTGCCCCTCGGTGGTCTTGCTGCGTGGCTGTGCGATAGCCGTGGCTTCAGCCTTCTGCCGAGAAGTTCAGAGGATGTTGAATTCGGTTGGACCCTCGGAGGCCCCTTGGGGGCGGCTTGGTCAAACCTTGGGGTGCAGTGGGCTGTGGTGCCTTCTGGTTAGAGGCCCCGGGGCCCATGTAGGATATGTTTATTGTTCTTCCGTACCGCTATATTTCTGGCATGAGTTCTGGCATAAGAAACAACCTATAAATCACCCATGGTAAATCAAGGTTTAGTAGCCAATTTAAACTGGAGCCCTGCTGCTGTACTAATAGCAGATCAGAGCCTCGGGGCCTCCTGTCCTAGCTAGAAGCAGCCTCGGCCAGCCCCGGAAAGCTCTTTGGGAGGGCATCGTCCTCACCCGCTCAGGCCAGGCGCTTTCCAGAGAGACCTTCAGTGCAGTGGGGCCACAGCAGAGAAGGTTTAGTTTAGTTTGTTTAGTTTTATTAAATTTATACCCCGCCCTTCTCCTGAAGGACTCAGGGCGGCTTACAGCCAGTTTAAAAACAATAATACAATACAATACAAAATTTAAAAGTGATTAAAAATAAATATTTAACTAGGCCGCTTCTGCTAAAAAATTTTGTTAAAACCAATTTAAAATACCCCTAGGCCAGTCCTGCCCGCTGAAATAACCAAGTCTTGAGGGCGCGGCGGAAGGAGGGGAGATCCGGAAGGTGGAGACACCCAAAGTTTCCTCTGCAATGAATGTGTTGAGTGGGTGGATTCCAGCTGGAGCTTTCTAGAATTGGAAATAAGGACCTCTCTGAATGGCACTGAAATCCTTTTGGCCACCAGTGCAGGGTGTGCAGCAATTAACGTCCTTGGCAACCAGCGCTAGCTGAGCGAAGGGGAACGGCAGTCCGGCCCTGGAACAGTCCTACTCCGAGGCGGAAACCCTCCATAAGAGGCGACCTCACAGTAACTGTACTCATTGCAAACGGGTTCAAGGCTTAAATCAGGCTAGTTTTTCAAGGTGGTCTTAAATGCATCATTGCTAAGGAATTCATATTTTCTTACTGGGTAAAATATATTTTGAAGACATGTTTGTACACTTGAATATCCTGCAAATGCAACAGTATGTATTCATGATGCCAGTATTGCTTATGTGCAAAAAGAAGAATAAAAAAACATGTAAACAAAATCCTTAACAGAAGTTAAGGAGCTAGGATTGCAAGACATCCTGTACCGGAACTGTGTCGAGGTTTTAAGGCTGCTGAGCTGGGATCTAATTTCCATCGTGCTCCTGGCTCCAACTGGATTCCCTGAATCACGCCGTGAGTGAGGCCTGTTGGGTGCCAGGCCAGAGCTGGCAAATTCTTGTTCTTCCATTTGAAGCCACAACAAGGAGGTGACGCGCTTCTCCTGTTGGGGATGCCCGGTGAATCTGACCTAATAGGTTAACTGTTTTGTAATTTTCTTTATAGTACTGAATTGCCGATTGTGGCAGGAGGAATTATTATTTAAATAATACAGTTCTGAGCAAATAGCGACCAGGTTGATTACCTAGCTGTGCTTCATTTCTTCAGGAAGTAAAACAACACTCTTCAGTCTATGGAAACTGAAGGTTTGCTCCCTTATCCTGGCAGTCACGGGGACTGCGGGGGCAACCCCTGTGGGGGCATTCGCCTTGGGATGTTTCACCTTAAGGCTGAAGAAGTGCTCCTGAGCTGCGGTGGAGTGCTGGAAAGGGACTGTCCTGGGCCCCATATTGCCTGTTCTGCATTTTCATTAGTGGCGCAGATCAACGGTCCCCAACCTTTCCGGCTCAGCAGACCGGCAGAGGCAACGGGAAGGGGATGGGATGGGGGGGGGAGAATGACCACTTTCATAAATGCAGCTTCGTGCAGGCGTGCTTGCCCACCTCTTCTGCTGCCCGGTTCCGTTGGGGACATCTGGCATAGATGGAGGGGGACATCATCGAATTGGCAGATAACACAAAACTAGGGAAGTCTGGGCAGAGTTTACCAGTTGGCTGAAATGAACAAGAAGGGCAGGCAGAAATACAGTATCTTGCATCTGGGGGGGAGGGGGGGAGAGATAAGAGACCTGGTTTGGCAGGATAGTCCGTGTGAAAGGGTGCCCAGGAATCAAACGAGTCAGCAGCATGTGAAGATGCTCCTGCTAACAAAGCCCGGGTTCAGCTGGGGTACATTCGCAGGAGCACAGAATCCGCTCTCCTCGCTCTGGTCTCTCCTGGCCAGACCTCCTCTGGAAGGCCAGTCCCAGCCCTGGGCACCAACACGCTGGTGGGGCTTCAGAAGAGGCCAGGTAAAGGGCCCCCCGACCGGGCGCTGTGAGGAACAGCTCAAGGCCCTGGGAGGGAGGCCCTGAGCTGGCAGAAGAAGGGCAGACCGGGAGGCCACGCGGAGGCAGCCTTTGGAGACCTAAAAGCTGGGGGCTCCTTTGTGTTGAGAGCGGGGAGGGTCTCCGTTGCCCTGGGGGGGGTTAGGCCTTAGGCCACTCGGGTGACACTGCAGGTCAGATGCTAGGAAGATTTTCTTCTTGGTGGAGACTTCCAACCAGATTGCCTCTTGGGTGGGAGGTCTCCAATCTCTGTTCTCCCCCCCTCCCCCCATGGAGGTCTGCAGAGAGACCGTCTGTCCCAGACCCTGACCGATCCTGCCTGGAGCAGGAGGGGTCTGTGTGTGGGGGGTCATTTCAACTCTGTTGCTCGAGAGGGGTTTCTGCGATTTTGTGCAGCAAAAGCCAGAAGGGACCATTTCTGTCTGGGCTGGGGGCCCTGGGGGTTGGGTCTTTCCCCAAAGGGGCAATCGGAGCCCCATTTGGGGTCAGTAAGGCTCCCCTCGCCCGTTTCCTGGGCAGGAGGAATCGGGCTGCTTTCGGGGGATGGAGGGGCCTGGAAGGAGGGCCCCTCCCCACCAGCAGTTGGCGTCTGGGCCGCCTGCCGTGGCTCCCACCCTTGACTCCTTTTCATTGCTGCTTTTAGACGCCAGAAGCTGCTGCTGCTCCTCCTCCTCCTCCTCCTGTCTCTCCTCTGCCGGTTCCTGCCGAGGCTTCACTCATCCCATCTTCCATCTCTCAGGTTTTTATTCCTTTAATGCCATTTTCACACTGATCGGTGGCGGGTGCTTCGTTTGTGTGGCCACCCGCGGACGGGGCTCCTTCAGCTCAGCCCGGACGTTGCCGCCTTTCCCTCCTGCGCTAGGAGAGGGGCCCTGCGGGTGGGGGGGGAGGAGGAAAGGGTGAAGGAAGGGGGGGTTGTGTGTGGGGTCTGGTTCACCCCAAGAATCTACCGTACAGGTAGTCCTCAGCTTACGACCACAATTGAAAACCAGAATGTCTGTGGTTAAGCAAGGAGACTGTTAAGTGAGTCACGTGTGGCTGTCAGGTGAATCTGGCTTCCCCCGGTGACTTGGCTCGCCGGAAGCCGGGATGCGGCAACTGTGGTAAACACACATGCCGGTTGCCCGAATGTGGCCATGGAGTTGCCGCAACGGTTGTGATGCAAGGAACGGTTTGTAAGTCCCCTTTTTCAGTGATTTTGAACGGTCACTAAAAGGAATGGTGGTAAGTGGAGGACTGCCCGTACTTCAACTGCTGAAAGGGGCGGGGATGGAGCGGCATTAGAGAGGAGATTTGAGGACGGCCACCGGCCCTCCCTGCTTCCCGGGTAGCATTAAAACAGCTGGATCACCAGATCCCTCTGGATCACCCACGGTCCAATCCCCCTTTTATCTGGCTCTGCACGTTGGGTGACCCCAGTTGGGGTCCTCTGGAGTGAGGCGGGGCGGAAGGACGTGGGGCTGTTTGGGGCAGCTGCCTGGTTCCCTGGTTTGCGCCTGTGCCGTCGTGCTGGGAACCTTCAGTATTTGGGGGGGGGGGCAATTCTAGTCCAGTCATCCCTGTCTAGGTCCACTCTGGCCCTCCTGCCCCGCCACCCTCCTTCCTCCTCGGCCGCCCAGGAGCTCCGTCCTCACACGGGCCCCGAGTGCTCTCCAGGCTGTTATTCAGGCTGGTCCGCATTAAAACAGTTGCTTCTAAAATGCTGCTTGGGACGGTTGATTGATTGACCGGATGGAGAGCACATTTTGTTGTTGTTTCTAAGCACAGCCCAGTGTGCTGTTGATAAAAGCTGTGAACCATCTAAGATAAATTTGGGTTGCTCTTAGGCAGAGGTCGGTGGGCAGAAGGCTCACCTTGTCTAGGTCACCAGGGCTCGGCCTTCTTGGCCAGGTGGGCAGGTAGGCAGAGCCTCGGCTTTTCTTGCCCCCGTGCCAGAAAGACACCCCAGCGCAGCCTTCAGGGGCCCCACCGGGAGTGGCAGAGACGGGCCCTCCAGGTTCTCCTCTGGAAGGATGGCCCCTCTGCTCAGAGGACCTCGGTCCTCACCGGCGCCCAGAGCTGCAGGTGACGCAACGTTGGCCGAGGCAGCCGGTGCCTTGCAAGAAAGCCAGACGGTTCGGAAAGGTTTCCATGGGTAGAACAGGAGCCCCGGCTGCGCTTGTGTGGGCCATGCAAGGAGTCGTATCCCCTGGGGGGTGGGGGGCACGGGGCTCTGGCCGTCTCCCCTCTGCCTCCAGACGCAGAGCCGGCTCAGAGAAAGGCTGGGGCCTCTCTAGAGGGCTTGGGAGGAGGCTCTAGTCCAGTGGTGGGGAACCTGTGGCACAGGTGGCAGAGGCGGCACTCAGAGCCCTCTCTGTGGGCACGTGCGCCGTCGCCCCAGTCCTAGGCCTTCAGCTGGGTTTTATAAAACCTTTTCGCTTTGGGCCTCTGCCGCCGTGTACAAAAAAAAAAGGTTCAATCAGTCAATTTCAACTTCTCGCGGGAAAAAAAAAGATCTTGCAAAGTTGGAATTGATTGATTGAACTTTTTAGTCTTCCCCCCCCAGTCTGCCGTTACCACCGCAGCCACGCCCACCCAATGGGCCACACCCACCCAGCACCCGACGATGCATAAGTGGGTATTGGGTTGCAGTTTGGGCACTCGGACTCTAAAAGGTTTGCCATCGCTGCTCTAGTCCGTGGGGGAACCGGTGGGTTAGAGAAAGGAGTCGAAGGTGCAACACCATCCCCTTCCGTCCTGCTTTAATCATGCCCACCCCCCACAAAGGCAGTTTGGCCCTTGAAGAGGGGCGGAGGAACGTGGGTGTGCTCTTAGCCTTGAGAAAAGATGGGCGGGGTGTGTCCAAAAGCCTGCCTGGTTGGAGAGGGTCCTGGGGGGGGGTCTCCTTCAGGGCAGACGGCTCAGAATCATGGGGCCCAGGCAGGAAGCCAGGCAGAGTCGGATGGAGCCTTCGGCAGGGGGGAGGATGAGGGGCTTGCCTTTGCTCAAAGGAGGCTTCCTCCACGAGGATTTTGGGAAGAGCCCGCCCGGGAGTCTTGGGGGCCAGTTAGCCGCCCCTGCTGGGGCTGGAAGGGGGCTGATCTGGGGGGCAATGGCAGGAGGCCTTGTTGGGGTTGACCTGAACCTGGCTGGGTTTTCTGGCTTTCAGCCCCCAAAATAAAAGGTGAAGTTGGTGAAGCTTTGGGATGTGGCAAACTCTGAGATCTCTGAAGTTCTTTTTTATTTTACTTTGGGCAGAGATTTCGGGGGGGGGGGGCAAGGAGGGCAGTGGGACGGGGCTGCATGGCTGACCAGTCCAAGAGCTTGAGATGGAAGAGCTGCAGCAGCAGCAGCAGGGAAAGGGCCCAGGAATAAGGGGGATGTAAATTGGGGCGGGGGAGTGTCATATTTCTTTTATCTGGCTTTTCATCTTTTAATTTCCAGGCAAATCCCCCTCCAGTCGTGGTAAACACAGAAACTCCGGAGACACCAACTTACGTAAGTTTCTCTCATTGAGACTTAGAACTAGCCCTGTATTTGTATCCCACTTAATGTCTTACTCCTCTCTTAATCTGGAGTCTTCCTGTTGCTGCAAGTTTGTCCCATTTTTGGCATGTTTTGTATGTTCTTGTAGGTCAATGGCACTGATGCAGAGTATGAATATGAAGAAATTATGCTGGAAAGGGTAAATATTTGCTCTTTAGTCCATGGAGTGAGTTAATTCATTCTGCTGTAAGTTAGAATTCTGCAGCCCTGGGGGAGGAGGAAACGCATCTGCCCCCCCACCCCCACCCCCCATTTCTCCTCCTCAGTGGCTCCTGCTGGTCTTCACTGCTCAGTATGGCTCCTCCTGGGGCTCCATTCTGCTGGTTCCAGGCTCAGGTTTCCTGCCTTCCTTAACCCAGTTAATCTAGGCAGGATGGGTTTTTTGATTACCTCTTGGCACAGACTAACTGGCTGTTGACCAGCTCCTCCGGAATGGTCAGTTCAAACCGGCGTGTGGGATCTGATTGCCAAGGGAAGCCGTGCACCCCATTTCCTGGCCGGCAAATCGAAATACCCCCCCCCCCTTTTTAAGCAACATCCCCAGGGTTTTTATCAACCAAGGTTTCCAGCTTCCACAGGTTCAGCCCACCCAGCCGCGGGCTTGTGAGTTCCTGGGGAGGGAGGGATGGAGGCTCTTTCATGAGAAGGCCGGCAGCAGGTGGTTTTCCATGTTGGGGAGGCAAGGAGACAAGAGCCAGCAGGACGAGGCCGGTGTGGGTGCCAGTTTTCTTGCCAGGCGAGGGGGGCTCCTGAGCTGCGTGCTTCCCCCTCCCCGTTCTCTCCCACGGGGACAGGGCCTGCCTTCCACCCTTCCCTCAGGCCCTCCCGGACCATCCCCCTTCAGGACGGGCACTCGGCTACTCAGGCGCTCCAGCGTGGTAACCAGAGGCTGCTGTTGCAGGGCAATTCCGGACTGGGCTTCAGCATCGCAGGCGGTACTGACAACCCGCACGTGGAGGACGACTCGGGGGTGTTCATCACAAAGATTATCCCAGGAGGGGCGGCTGCCCAAGACGGGAGGCTACGGTAGGTCTCTCTTCCTCCAAGCCACTCCTGCAGCTGTGGCTTCCGGTCAGGTGTGCAAGGAGCAGCTGGGGGTGGGGGTGGCTCCACCTGCCTCAGTGGCGTCTCTCTCTGATGGGTGGTGTTCATACAGCACACTGAACCTGGTTATTGAACTGATCAGTTTTTCTGGATTTGCACAGCAATGACACTGCTGCATTCATCGAGTGTCACAGAACGATACGTCACTTGGACCGCAGACGTCAGAATCCGCTAGGCCAGGGGTAGGCCACCTTGGCTCTTTTATGACTCGTGGACTTCAACTCCCAGAATTCCTGAGCCAGCTACGGAGCTGGAGTTTTGAAGTCCACGAGTCATAAAAGGGCCAAGGTGGCCTACCCCTGCGCTAGACCAACTCGGGGGGGGGGGGGCAAAGGGTATCCAGTTTGGTTTTGAAAAAAAATCAGCAGCTCTTCTAGTCAGACTGTTCCGTGGCTTCACGGCTGTCATATAGTCAGGAAGTTCCCCGAGACCTTTTTTAGAAATGGAGTCCCTTGCTTGGCCTGCTCTCGGTTTCAGGGGAACTGCTGCAGCCTCGTTTCCCAGAGGGCTGCTGTCGCCCATCTCTCTCTCTCTCTGGCCTTCTTTGTGACCAGCTCAGCTGTGCAGGAGCCCCGGGGCTTTCGTGGTTCTGCCCGAGGAGTCCGGAAACCGCCCCAGCTGCTCTCCTCTGAGCCTGCTCCGGTTGCCCTGCCTTTCCCAGCACGAAGCCCAGAACCCCCGGCAGGCTCTCTCTGGCAGTCTGCATGCGGCTCTCCTGTGAAGGCAGCCCCATCTGGAGTCGGCCCCAGGGTGACTCTGCTCTGACCCGTTTTTCCTTTGGTTTTCGGTGTCGTTTGCATCCTTTCTGTCCCATTTCGGACAGAGCGTGAGGGAGTCCCTGATACAGCCCCCCAGAGAGGGCAGAAGAACTGACTGTCTTTGGCTAGTAGTCGCTTGCAAAAAGAAAGCAGCTACCAGCCCTTGTGTGTCTGTCTTGGGGAGGGAGGGGGGGCAGCTAGGTTTTCCAACTCAAGAAGCCGGAAATCTTCCCATTGAATATACAAAATGCTTCCTTTACAAGAGTCTGTTTTCCATTGCCCATACTGGTTCCATCCTAGGAAAAATTCTTTCTACATAACATAGTGAAACCAAATAGAATAGGAGATGGAATTCCCTTCCTTCCTCCCCCCCCCCAAGCTATGGCTAGCCCCATCCTTGCTAGCCTTCCAGACCCCCCCTCCCCGGGAGGAGGTTTTCCGGCCCCCTTGGGTATCCCCTGCAAAATGGCTGCCTTGCGCTTACGGGGTTGTCATTTGCTTGCCAGCTTTGCTTTTTTTTTAAAAAATGGTGGTTCATATTGTTTTTAAGTGTTGCCTATATGCCACCTGGGTCACACTTAGTGAGATGGGCACCTATATAAATTTGCTAAATAAATAAGAGCAGGAAATTATCAAATAACTTCTAGAAGAAAGTATGTGCAAATTAGTAATTTTTAAAATCTTTTTACCCTACTTGGAGCAATTTCTAATTAATAAATAATAGAATTCTTGCTCTCAAGCTTTTCATAAACGAAGAAAAGACAGCCAAAAGAGATAATTTGGGCACATATTTGTAATGTCTCGGAAGGGGTAGCTGTATTGTTGTAGTTTATTTCAATACTTTATTAGAAAAACCGCTTCTCGACTTCTACTTCCCAGGCCTGTTAGGCGGGAAAGGAACAGGACGGTTTACTTACCGTGCAGGGAGTGGGGGACTCCGGGATCTCGGCCCACCACCTGCCCGCCCGCCCGTGCCAGAGCCAAGAACGCCAACTTCTTTGGCCATCCAGCTGGGGACCTGCTTGAGTTAGGCCTGGTTTCATTTGGATCTACTGCTGGCTGAAAGCAGTGGAAGTAGATCCTTTGGCCGCTTTGAATAGTGGGACGGGTGCCGCATAAATTAAACAAATAACAAACCGGTGCCGCATACTTCAAGAAATGTCTCCCGGTGAAACCAGGCAGCAGGTGCAGGTGGAGCAGACCTTGAAGGTTGCTTAGCCCAGGCCTGTGGCCACAGCAAGCCCTCTGCTACGGGCCTTAGGCGGGCATTCAGCTTGGCTTATAAATTCTCACCATCTGTCACCTCCGTGGCTTGTTCGGAAATGTGCCTCCAATTTCAGGGCATCCTCAAGTTCTCCCTTGTGACTTGTTGGAGCCTCTTTGTAAGTCGAAATGCCACTCTAGAGAAACGGCAGGAAGCTCTTTCGCCTCCCCCGTTGCTTGACCGGCTTCCTCCGAGTTCTCTGGCCATTCCTGGCTGGCCTTCCCTTGGCTGGCTGCAGCCAAGCATTGCGGCCGGCTTTTGTTCTCTGCCTTCCATCTTCTTCCCCATTGATTGGGGGGGGGGGAAAGCCCCAAAGGGGAGACTGAACTAGAACTCACCATCTCTGGGTGACTGGCCCAAATTCACCCGGACAAAGGAAGCAGGCAGCCCTAGCAGAGCAGGGGAGGGAGGGAGGGAGGGAGGGAGGGCGCATGCACTGAGTCTGGGAAACCTCTCCCCTCTCCGCGCAGAGTGAATGACTGCATTTTGCGTGTGAACGAGGTGGACGTCCGCGATGTGACCCACGGCAGAGCGGTGGAGGCCTTGAAGGAGGCGGGCTCCGTGGTCCGTCTGTACGTCAAGAGGAGGAGGCAGACCACGGAAAGGGTGGTGGACATAAAACTGGTGAAGGGGCCCAAAGGTTTGTGAGCAGCCCCTGCCGGGTGATGGCCCAGCAAAGAGGGCGTTTTGCGTGGGTTCTCCCCTTCCCCGCCCTGCGTGCGAGAGGTGCCCTTTCCTGGAGGTGGTGGAGGGGCCTCCGTGAGAGGAGCCCAGGCCAGGTCCCAGCGGGCGCCTTACCAGCGAGGCACAGCTGCTGGGGTCCCACCCTGGAGTTCCCCCTGGGAAGCCTCTGGGCGGGGTCCCTTCTGTCCCAGGGGAGGGTCCTGGTTCCCTGCCAGGGGGCGGAAGGCCGTGTGTGTGTGTGGGGGGAGGGCCTCGGTGCTGACGGCCTTTGCTCTCCTGAAGCAGGTCTCGGGTTCAGCATCGCCGGGGGTGTCGGCAACCAGCACATCCCCGGGGACAACAGCATCTATGTCACCAAAATCATCGAAGGTGGGGCTGCACATAAGGACGGACGGCTCCAGATCGGAGACAAGTTGATGGCTGTGAGTTTATATTTACTTTGGCTTTTTCCACTCTTCCCTTGGGCAGTTCTACCCCCTTTTAGCTTTGCTAGGGACGCTCTGGGGCCCGTCCGACAACCTCCGAAGACTCTGAGGCTGAGGGGAAGGCTTGGAGATCGAGCTGGGCTTTTGGTTCCTCTGGGAGAAAGCTGGGAACCCCCCCACCACCCCCGCGGTGCAACGGGTGTCCTAGAGCAGGGAGGAGTCTGGAATAAGAATAGGTTTTACAGGAAAGAAAATCTGCCTTAAATCTTGCATATCTTATTGGAAGTCGCCCAGAGCCGCTTTGCAGGGGAGATAGGTGGCGTAAAAAATTAATAAATAAATAAAATAAATAAAACTAGTAAAACTAGTATTGAAACTGGGCCATACCAATTATATTCACTGAATAAGTCTGGAATTTATGAGATTGGTCGGTTGGAATACCAAGTAGAGCTGGTCAAAAGCACCCTCAGCCAGTAACCAAGGCGTCCCCAGTTCATGCCAAATCTAAAAACCCCAAATTCCATGTTTCAGCGTTCCATGTAGAGCGTGCTCCCTCCCCCCCAAGATTATTTTCCTCCTTTCGTGTTCTGTGTCCTCCCTCCCTCCTCTGTTCCTGAAGAATCCCCCCCACCCCCACCCCCGAGCCTGGCACAAGCCATTCTAGACGAGGGACGGAGCTGAGGATATCAATGCTCCGTGGTCTGTATAGTTTTCTCCAATGGTTTCATAGGATTATAGAGTTGGACGGGGTGTTTTAGGCTGTTGAGTCTAATAACCCCTTGCATTGATACATGAATCCCCACGCGGATCCCCTGGACTGCCCTTCTGATCGCTGCTTCAGATTTGATACCGTGCCCTCTACTTGAGATGAGTGCGACCAAGACAAAATAAAGTGGGATAATTACTTTCTATAGTTTGGAAATCATGCCTCTGTTTTTGCATTCTAAACCTGCATTTGCCTTTTCAGCAGCTTCATCACACGGCTCACTCACACTCAGTTCCCAGGCAACTGCTGTGCACGAACAATTTTTTCACAAGTATTGTTGCCCTAGCTACAACCTATATTTATGCATTTGATTTTGTTTGCTGGGAAACTTTGCATTTGTCTCTTACACCCATTTCTCTGCGCAAGAATCATAATCAGAATAGAGCTGGAAGGGACCTTGGAGGTCTTCTAGTCTGACCCCCTCTCAAGCAGGAGACCCTATACTATTTCAGACAAGTGACTGTCCAGTCTCTTCTTAAAAACCTCCAGTGATGGAGTACCAACAACTTCTGGTGGTAAGCTATTCCACTGGTTTATTGTCCTCACTGTTAGGAAGTTTCTCCTCAGTTCCAGGTTGCTTCTCTCTCTGATTAGTTTCCATCTGTTGCTTCTTGTCTTACCTTCTGGTGCTTTGGAAAATAAGTTGACCCCCTCTTCTTTGTAACAACCCCTCAAATACTGAAAGACTGCTATCATGTCCCCCCCTAGTGCTTCTTTTCTCTAGACTGGCCAAACCCAAATCCTGCAACCGTTCTTCATATGTTTTTGTCTCCAGGCCTTTAATTATCTTAGTTGCTCTTCTTTGCACTTTTTCCCAAAAATTTCGACATCTTTTTTGTAATGTGGTGACCAAAATTGGATGCAGGATTCCAGGTGTGGCCTTACAAAGGCCTTATGAAGCAGTACTAATACTTTAGGTGATTTTGATTCTGTGCCTCTGTTTATGCACCCAAGGATTGTATCAGCTTTTTTGGTTGCTGCTGCACACTGCTAGATTATATTTAAGTTATTGTCCACTAGGACTCCAAGGTCCCTCTCACAGTTAACTGTTTTTGAGCCAGGTTTCGCCTAATTTGTACTTGTACCTTGGTTTTTCCTGCCTAGGTGTAAAACTTTGCTTTTCTCCACATTGGAACTCATTTTGTTGGATAGGGCCCATTGTTCAAGTCTGTCAAGATCTTTTTGGATGCTGAGCTTGTCTTCTGGGGGTGTTGGCTATTCCTGCCAGTTTAGTGTCATCTGCAAATTTGACGAGTTCCCCTTGGATTCCCTCATCTAAGTCGTTTATGAAGATATTGAAGAGTCCTGGGCCTAAGACGGAACCTTGTGGTACCCCACTGCTTACTTCCCTCCATGTGGATGTAGTGCCATTAAGGACTACTCGTTGAGGGCAATTTGTCAGCCAGTTACAGATCCATCTGGTGATGATGCTGTCTCCAACCTTTTGGGCACCAGGGACCGGTTCCGTGGAGAGAGGTTTTTCTATGGACTGGAGAGTGCGTGGTTTTGTGTGCTGCCTGCATCCCACGGATGGGGCTTTGCTTGTTTATGCGGACCAGTTGCTGGCATGCCACGGCCCAGTACCAGTCCACGGACCGGGAATTGGGCACCCCTGGTCTATCCCACATTTTTCTAGCTTACCAAGAAGTAGGTTGTGGTCAACTTTGTCGAATGCCTTGCTGAAGTCTAAGTATACTATGTCCATAGCATTTCACTGCTCTACTAATTTAGTCACTTTGTCAAAGAATGAAATAAGATTGGTTTGGCATGATCTATTTTTAAGAAACCCATGCTGGCTTTTAGTTATAACTTCATTCGTTTCAAGATGTTCCCAGATCTGTTTTTTGATTATTTTTTCCAGTATCTTCCCATATATTGATATTAGGCTGATGTTAGGTCTGTAGTTTCCTGGGTCTGTTTTTTTCCTTTTTTTGAAGATGGGAACCACACCAGCTCTTTTCCAATCCTCAGATAATTCCACGGTGTTCCAGGATTTTTGAAAGATATGGTACAATGGTTCTGCCACCTCCTTCAGAAATCTGGGATGTAATCTATCAGGTCCAGTTGATTTATATTCATCAAGATCAAATAGGTGTTCTCTAATCATTTTCTTATTGTAATTTTTATTTCTAGTCTGTCTTTTATTGTTAGGTTTTTGGTAGGTTGGGCTATAGTTTCTTTTTGCGTGAAGATTGATGTAAAGAATGAATTAAGCAGCTCTGCTTTCTTTCTGCTGCCTGTTACTTCCTTGCCATCTTCTCTCTTAAGTGGACCTACTGTTTCCTTGACTTTTTTCTTGTTATTTATATGTTGAAAGAAACTTTTTTTTATTATCTTTGACTTTTGTTGCAAGTCTTAATTCATTCTGACTCTTCACATTCCTGACTTCATCTTTGCAGATTCGGGGTATCTGCTGATATTCTGCCTTGGTTATGTGTCCCTCTTTCCATTTTTCGTAATTGTTCTTTTTGTCTTTCGGTTTATCAGAGAGATCTTTGTGTAGCCATATTGGTTTCTTCTTGGATTTCTTGTGTTTCTTTTCAGTGGTATTGTGCTGGACTGGGCTTTTATGATCATATTTTTCAGAGTTTCCCATGCTTCTTGAGTTGTTTTCCCCTTTAGGATTTTTATCTATGGAATTTTTCTTAGGCTCTCTCTGAGTTTGTTAAAACTCTTTTGAAGTTTAAGACACTGGTTAGATTATATTCTATTGCTTGTGTTTGCGTTATATTGAAAATTGCCCAAGGTTCTGGCAATTTCAACTCCATCATTTCTCGATTAGTAAGAATTGGGTCTAATATAGCTTTTCCTCTAGTTCACTTTTGGATGACAAAGTTGTCAGTTAGGTTAGTTAGGAATCTGTTTGATCTCCCACTTGCTGCGGAGTTTGTCTCCCAGTTGATATCAGGGTAGTTAAAGTCTCCCATTACTACTGTGGTATGTTTCCTACAAAGATTTTTTTAATTGATTAGCAAAGATGGGTAGACTCTTGAAATCCCCTCCGCTCTAATCTCCTTGCTCTGCTGAGGGGGGAGAGGGAGGAGGGTCTGGGACAAGTCACGTGGCCAGTTCGCCACGGGACAACAGTCAAAGGAGGAACAAAATGAAATGTGAATGACAAAAATTAAAACAGTTTTTTAAAATATATTTTAAATCATTAAATTGAATTGTTGAATTGTCCTGTGGGTGAGTTGTCCCGTGGCGGGTTGGCTGTGGCAAGTTGTCCCGTGGAGAATTGACCATGATAAGATGACTGCCGGGAATTGGCTGTGGCGAGTTGTCTCATTCCAGAGGGAGAAGAAGAGTCGGGGCAGAGGAGAAAGGGCCTACTGAAATTGCTTGCTTCTCCCTCCCCACCCGCAGAGTAGAGAGACTGAAGGGAGTTAAGCTGCTTGCGTAGTCTGCTTCCCCCCCCCCCCCGCTGGTGCAGTTTTTGCATCACGCTTTGCTGCATACAAGGCAGCAAGACACCAATTCCAAAGGGCAGAGGAGAGTCTTTAGGAGGCAAACAAAAGCTGAATGTGTGAAACTGAATAGTCTTGTGTCTCCAACTGTGTCTCCCTGTGTGTAATTTTTTTTATAAAGAATTTTGATTGTAATAGTAAAATTTAATACAAACTAAATTTAAAAGAGAATAGAGACAAGGAGTAAAAAGTGCAAGGAAGAAGAAAAAAAAGAATATAATAAAAAATTATGTGAAGAAGCAATTTCATCGCAAGAAGTATAAGTAAATTTAGTAACTCTTCACCTTTAAATTTACAAATATTTATCTCCTCATCCCATATCCCATTTCTTCTCTATAAGCAAATCCATAAAACATTTTTTCAGTCTTGATGTCAACAGAAAGTGTATAAAGATAGCAAGAGGTAGTAACGTATGTTGTTTTAACTTTGATCAAATAAACCAATTTTATATTACTTCGTTTTATTGCCTTCCTTGAAATATAGTCATAGGATTTGATTTCATTTCACTTTGTGGTCCCATTACGCACACTTTTTTTCAAGACTTTAATAAGTCTCTCCTGTAAATCCAATAGGAAAAAAAATGATCTAGGTCACTCTCTTGGTTTGTCTGACCGGCTGTGAGTTCGATCCTAGGTAGTGGCATATATTTCTCTCTCTGGTGCAAAGAAGGTGTCAGGAAGGGCATCCAGACAGTAAACTCTCAGCTCCATTCAGTTGCCTTGAATTCCACCCTGATGCAAGGGATTACGAGGTCGTTAAAACCTTTCTTGGTTTGTCATTTGTTTTCCTCTTTTAAATTTTGAAGCATCAGCCAGTTTCTTTTGTAGGCCCAGTGAAATATCCTTTTCTAAATCATTCTCTTGGTCTCTCAGTTATAAATCCACTTTTTTCTTGTCAGATAAAACTTGTTCTATTGTTGAGATTTCTTCAATAACTTCTTTTGGGCATAATCTATTCAGAGAAATGGACATCATTACTGACATTGTTGATATGGTGGCTATTTCTGATTCCATCCTTCAAAAGTCTCCTTCTGTATTTTTATTGTCATAATGTTTTGCATCAGTCATAGCAGCAATCTGGAGACTTCCTGGGCAAAATCCCAACTTCTGTCTGCGCCAATGTCTCGTGATACAGAACAACACTGGTGACTCTCAGGGAAGGTCTGTTTTTGTTCCAGGGCTAATTTCGTTTTGCATTTTCCCTCCTCCAGGTGAACAGTGTTTGCTTAGAAGAAGTGACCCACGAAGAAGCAGTGGCTGCTTTAAAGAACACGTCTGATTTTGTCTACCTGAAACTTGCAAAGCCCACCAGCATGTTCATAAATGATGCTTACGTACCTCCTGAGATGACTGGCTGTAAGTCTGAATTTGGGATGGCTGTTCTTTATTAGAAAAGAATTAACGAAAAGCATCTTTTCTCTCCTTTTCCTTTGCTGACCTTTTGTTATATGTGCCAACAATTTTCGTGTAAAAATAAATAGCATTTTTATTTCTGTTGCCCCAGTGTCTAGCAGAACCATACATAATGTTGCTAAGATACAGTAACTGAAGAGAGAGGGGGGGGGGAAAAGATCTTTGCATGGGTTTTTGAGCCAAAGGATGGCAAACGGAGGGAGAAACTGAGACTGGCCACTTTGGGCCAACCTGTGGGAAAATGCCGGAAGGGAAGAAGAGCCTTTCCACAAAGGGTGGGAGACATCTAACACTTCACTCTCAAAATAGCGTCATTATGATTTTTAACCCCGAAATTTTCTGAGAGAGTTAAATAATTTGTTTGCTTAACATAATTCAAAACTTTCCCCATTCCTAAGGGCTCTGAGTGATCAACAATAAAGAACAAAAAGTTACATAACAAAAATGAGTGCAGGGGCCACGTTCAGCTTAGGGCAAAGGCATGGAAATAAGATTTTTGGCTTGCTTGCAGAACGCATGTAGGGTATCGCTGCCGGGAGAGGCCTCCAAAGGGTGGGGCCACACACCCCCATGAGGGGTGCACAAAGGGAACCCCGAGGGGGGGCCTCTCTATAAACACAGACAAGGGGCTCCAGTTCTGACGGGTTTGTTCCAGCTGTGCGTCTGTTCTGTGTGAGGCCTTCGAGGTCACACTCAGGACTTTGAATTGCGCCTGGATGCCAGTAGGCAGCCTTTACAGTATGGGCAGTCCTCACTTACTGACTGCTCATTCAGTGACTGTTTGAAGTTACAACAGTGCTAAATAAGCATATTTATGGCCAATCATCCTTGAAGTTGTGGCTTTTGCAGCCTCCCTGCAGTCACATCATAGCAATTTGGGGGCCTGGCAACCAGGGGGCCTTTACAAGAGTCACAATCCTGCCGCTCTTGTGATTAAGATTTGTGACCTTCACCGCCGCTTTCAGACAACCAAGTCAGTGAAGAGGCTGTCAGGAAGTTGCAAGTCGCAATCACACGACCATGAGTAGTTCATTAAAAGACCGCAGCTGCCACTGCCATCGTAAGTTGGGCGCTGTTGCATGATTTTTCCATTTACAACCACTTTGCTTAATGAGAGTTGCCAGTTCTAGTCGCAGTTGGAAAGTGAGGACTACCTGGAACTTTAAAATTGGTGTTGTCTACTGATGAGATTGTGCCAGCTGTAATTTTGGGGTCATTCTCAAAGGCAGCCCCAGGTAAAGCTCATTATCATTAATTTGAGTGGTGGTCAAGACGTGAATTAACATTGCCAGGGCATCCTGGGTTGACCTACCAGAGTAACACCTGGCACACCAGCCGAAACTGCCCGCCTACTGCTTGAGCAGGAGCCAAGAACCCAGCACATCTGAACCCACAAAGCGTCTCCTTTGTGGGGAGCAGGGCCCAATGCAGGGTGACTGCTACTGGGGTCAAGGTTCTGGCTGATGAGCCCAACAAAGTAAGCACACCTGAGACCTTCCAATCCCTAATGCAAAGCTTTATTGAGCACAGCATACCGGCACTAATGAGTAGAAAACCAGCTCTGGCAATTTGGCGCCAGAAAGATAATTAAAAGAGTACCTCTGATGGTTCAAGGCATAACGTCCAATTATTCTTCGGGCAGTTGGTACGAGAAAAGGGTCTCTACTTGCCATAATTCCTGCACCCTTGCTTCCCATGCAGATAGAAATCCCCTGTGCATCCCATGCTTTCCCCTCCCCCCTCGTAACTGTTGGCAAGCTAGGAGCGGCATGGCTGTCCTAGCGCAAGCAACCTTCGTAGCTTGATCACTGGAACCGAAGGAGCCTCACTGAGCCTCGTTGCTCTGCTCTCCTCTCCACCACCCAGTCTGAGCGCTTGGAGGGAGCAGCCCATCCTCTGACTGCTTTGATCAGCTTCAGGTGTCTCCCAAGGCTGACGTTCCACTGGTTCAGCTTCAGCGGCTTCTCTGAACCCAGAGCCCTCTGAGTGCTGGACCTGGCTTCACTTTATCTGTGGCCTCCGTATCCTCGCTCAGCCAGAGTTTCATTCCTAGGTCATTTGACAGTCCAATTACTTCCCCTGGGTGTTTTTTCTCCCTCCCCCATCCATGAGCCCCTTGCCTCCGTGGCCTGGTCCTGAGAGCATCCTCTGAAAGAGTTTCATCCTTTTGAGTTAGATGCTGTCCAGCACTTGTTAACTTTCTCCTGGGGGGTCTCTTTAAAAAGTGCTCTGCCCCCATTTTGAGATTCTTCACCAGGATCTGCCTCACCTGCAGGTTCTGCTTGTTTTCCAAAGTTTCCCATGCCAAACAAATGAAGATATCACTGTTGGGGGTGGGGTGGGGGGAGGAGCTTGATTTCTGCAGAGGGCAAATAACACTGTGTGTAGATGAGTGTTTTCTTGTCGAGCAGTGCAGTGGCTTTTAGGATTCAGTGGTCAGCGCCTTCCTGAGCCTTGAGATCTGTTGCCATACCTGGCCCCAAGGAGGGGACCCACTCCTAGTCCCAGCAGGGTCTGTGCTCGGCACTCGGCTCCCAGTATTGGGTCAGGCGGCCAGTGCAGGGCGTCCTTCATGGCCGCCTCAGTGCCGAAGGCGAAAGGGCCAAGGAATGGCGGCCGAGTGGGGCTGGGGGAGGGAAACAGCTCTCTCCTCTTTCATTCGGCCCCCCGACCCCTCCCTCTGTGCGTGAGCCCGTCCTTTGATTCAGGCGGCAGCAGGGGGGCCTGGGGACATGCCCCGACGTTAAGGGAGACACGGCAAGTCAGAACTCACCCGTCTGGGCGCTTCGCAGTGGCTCCTCATTGGGTTGGAGGGGGGGTCCCCACAAGGTTCGTTCTTGGGCCCTCCCGTTTTCAGCCGTGACTGTCCTGGAGGGAGAAGCAGAGCCGAGATGGCGGCTGTTTTCCTTCGGCCCAAATGGCGTAGAGGTGCTGGGCAGGTGAACGAGCGGCCTCTGCCAACTCGGCCCCAGGCAGCAGAGGGCACCTTCTTCTGACTGACCTGCCTCTTTCTTCTTCCTCCCCCTCCCCCTCAGCTTACTCTCAGCCTGCGGAGAACCACGTCACCCCGTCAGGCTACCTGGGCCAGCCTTTGCCACCAGCCTCCCCGGAGAGATACTCACCTGCTCCTAAGGCAGTGCTGGGAGAAGACAAGACCCCCAGGTAGGAAGCTGCGTCTCTGCCTTTGCAGCGACCGAGGCAACGTGTCACCGGGTGGGGCTGAGCGCTGGGGGGGAGATGGGGGGATGGGGGGGAAGTGGACCAGCTCCTGGAAGAGAAGAGCCGGCAGAGCAGCCCACCCCAAAGGGGCCGAGGGGCACCTGGTTGAGAGCGGCTGTCAGTGCACCGAGGAAAGGCTCTCAACCAGGGCCGCTCACCCCTCCCAAGAACTACCTGTCCTGCTGATGGACGACAGGTAGTCCCTGACTTACGACCGTAATTGCCCAGCAGGGATGCTTCACGGCTGGCACAGCCCGTCCAGCTGTCACAGAATCTGCCTTCCCCCACAGCCACATGACTGCATTCCCCACGTTTGACAGCTGGCTCACATGTACAACTTGTTGCGGTGTGGTGTGGACGTGTGCGATTTGCAACATTTTTTGCCAGTTTCCAGAGAATGGATTCAGTTTTAGGATTTGTCTAAGTGTTGCGTGATTCGGACTTAAAACTATGTGATTCGTTTAATGACTGCCACCAAATAGTCATAAATCACATCTGGTCACATGGGTGCCCTGACTTAACGACTGTCACGATTTAACAGCTGAAACATTGGCCCCCAGCGTGGCCACCAGTCGAGAACTACCCGTAATAAAGTATAGCTCCGGTGGGGACTTTTTTTTCCTCCCTCCCTCACGGCCCCCACGGCTCCTCCTCCTCCTCCTCCTCCTCAACTGCGGTCCTTGCGGGAGAAAAGGATGCCCGGAGGCACCTCCCGCAAATGGTGTGGGCGGCAGGAGCGGCGTTTGTGCTGGGCATCCTGGCAGCTTCTTCCAAGGTTGGCTGTAGAACATCTGCCCCCCCCACCGTTGACCCCTTCGGCTTTGAGGGAAGAAGAACAATGGGGGGGGAGGCTGACCAGCGAGGGCCTTGGGGCCAGTGGCTGGAGTGGGAAGGGAGATCCAGGATCAGCAGCCCGGAGGGGAGAGCTGGGCGCAGTTGTCCGCAGTTGGACAGGGGTCGAACGGGTCTAGTCGAATCGGATGAGGAGGAGCACAGATTGGATTCGAGGGATAACCTGGAAACGACCCAGAAAAGGCCTCCTTGCCGGGATACCTGCCATAGGAGCCGTGTGGCGTGTGATGGATCCAGCCAAAGGACACACTTTCTGCTCGTGGGGTTTCGTTGTGAGAGTCTCGTTCATACGTTCTCTTTATGCCTTAGAAATATATATTCTGTTAGGCTAAATATTTCTCAGGAGAATCTTGCTAGCACCAAATTGTGGATGACTTCTCTTAGTGGAAACTCCTCTTCTTGGGTCCCTTCTAGGATATTCTAGAATAGTCATATAACGCAACTTAGTGGGTTGGCATCAAAATGAAACGCAGGTGGTCCTCGCTTACTGTCAAGCACAAGCCCCAGAGAGGACGCAGTGAGAGCCACTCGAGTTCAGATCTTGTTTACGCTTTGTGGACAGAACTTGGCTGTAACCTCCTGATCGAACCGATCTACCCTGGGAGATTCTAGGCTGGGATTACCCTAAACCTCTTCCTCCCTCCCCCGTCCAGGCCGGGACCAGGCAGCCTCTCGGCTTGGGCCCCTCGGTGGAAGGGGCTGCCTCCTCCCCACTCCTCCTCCTCCAGCTGCACTTTCCATCACACTTACAAGGGATAATAACTGGGCCTGGGAGCTCCGTCCCTAAGTGGCCCTGGTCGTAAGGAGCGAGGTCGCAGGGCTGTGCCGACTTACAAAGGCAGTTGTGGCAGTTCCAGGTGCCACCGTTGGGCAAATCTTGGCCCGGTCGCAGCATCCAGCAGCCCCGTGGTCCCCACTGGGCTTCCCCACTAGCTTTGCTTGTCAGAAGCCGACGGTGATCCGTGGGACTCTGTGATGTCACAGCTGCGAGTCAGAGGCCGCGTGCCCAGATCAGGATCCCGTGCCTCAGTTGCTCCAATTCGTTTCTCCTTTTAGGGAGCCACGGAAGCTGGTGCTGCATCGGGGCTCCACGGGGCTTGGCTTCAACATCGTGGGGGGAGAGGATGGGGAGGGGATTTTCGTCTCCTTCATCCTTGCCGGTGGGCCTGCAGACCTCAGCGGGGAGCTCAGGAAGGGAGACCGCATCATTTCGGTAAGACCCTGCCAAGTTGAACAGCAATTGGGTCTCCTGAGGCCACGGGGGCCTCCTTGGCCAGAGTCCCCCCGGGCCGTGTGGGCCTCTGCCTGGCAAGGAGAGCAGGGACAGGGGAGGGAGGGAGGCCTCTGTGACCCACCAGCCGGCTGCTTGGCTGTCTGCAAGAGGCCTGGTCAGGTTCCAGGCTGGTCAGTTTGGTGACATCCATGTGCTGATGTGAGCGACGGTTCATTTGTGTTGCTTTTCAGGTAAATGGTGTGGACCTCAAAGCCGCAACCCACGAAGAGGCAGCTGCTGCCCTGAAAAACGCCGGTCAGTCGGTCACTATCGTAGCTCAGTATCGTCCCGAAGGCAAGTGAAGGATCAGATTAAGCCCTCGTTCTCTGGGGAAACCCCTTCTTAGAATGGAAGCCGAGAGGCTGAGAGCGTCTGGGTCGCCTGCCGTGATGATGGCGATGCCGAAGATATGAATTATACCTTTGTTTCGCCTTGACTTTGTCAAGGCACAGTACAAAGGGTAGGGAATACACAATACTAGAATAAGAGAGTTGGAAGGGACCTTAGAGGTCTTCTAGTCCAACTCCTCTGCTCAAGCAGGAAACTTGTACTGTTCCAGACAAACGGCTGTCCAGTCTCTTCTTCAAAACCTCCAGGGATGGAGCCCCCACAACATCTGGAGGCAACTTCTGTTCCACTGGCTGATTGTCCTCTCTGTCAGGAAATTTCTCCTTAGTTCCAGGTTGCTTCTCTCCTTGATTGGCTTCCATCCGTTGTTTCTTTTCTTGCCTTTTTGTTTAATTCTTTATACAATTAAATTTTAAATGAATTGTAGCCACACAGAATCCCTAAGCAGCACAAATACTGTCCTGGTCCCTTTTCAAACCTGCACCTGAGGAGGTGGAAGGTGCTCTCCAGTCCCCCCGGCAAGGAAGAGGTCACACTGGGGGGGAGTGGTGGTGGTGGTGGTGGTGGGTTTGCCCCTTCTGAAGCAGCGCCATCTGGTGGGACCTGGGACCTGAGGGTCTCCCCCCCCCTCCCAGGCATTCTGGCATTATGATGGCTCTGAGCCTCTTAGCCCTTTTGGCAGACCTGCCCCCCCCAACCCCGTGGGCCCAGATGCGCCTCTGCGTTACCCCCCTCAAACGGACTTTCCTTAGCTGCTGTGTTGATTTTCTTTTCTTCCTTTTTTTAAAAAATGTAGTACCCTACCCAGGGTCACAAATCGTGATTGCCCAGTTTGCAACGTTTTAAAAACAAAATGCCTAATAACCTATTATGGCTTCATTCTGGGATACTCTTCAGAATGGGAATCTGGCTCTGTGGGAAATGACTCTGCATTCCCTAGTCTAGTCCTCAGTTAATGACCGTGAGTGGAACCAGAATTTACGTCAGAGGTTGTTAAGACCTGATGTCATTTGACCACGTTTCTGAATGATGGCAATCTGGGCTGCCGTTGTTAAGTGAGAATCACAGGTCATTAAGCCAGTTCCTGGAGGCTCGCAAGCAGGCAGGCGGGGCATATGAGGCAAGCCGTGAGCGCCATGGGCCGGGGGAGGGGTGGCTGCTGCCGGGCGGGGGAGGGTGCAGGGGACTGACCAGAGCAACTGGCCACCTTCCCTGCCAGCTTCCCCTGCTCGGACTCTCTTTATGGGAAGCCGGCAGGAGAAGTGGCAGATGGCTGTCACGTGACCCTGGGACACTGCGGCTGTCGTAAGTGCGAACCAGTTGTCAGATGCCCCCATCACGATCACCTGGGCGCCGGGTGGCTGAGACGGGCGGACATTTGAGGACCAGTTATAAGTATCGCTTGTTCAGCACTGTTGTAACTTTGAATGCTAAACCAGTGGTCATTAAACAAGGACCTTGGTGAAAATTCCTTGGCTGATGGGGTCCATGGCGTGCCCTTTCTGGTCGAGCAAGGGGGGCAGGCCAGCCCCATGGGGTGAGGCGCTTCCTCGGATAGCCTGGGACCCCTCTCGTCGAGGGCTTCAGAGGTAATAACCCACCCCTTGGGCTGGACCTGGAAGCAGACTGGCAACCGGTGCGGTTTGCGCAGTGGCGGTGCCCATGGGCCGTCCAGAGGGCCCCTAAAACTGACTCTGCCAGCTGTAGCTTCCGACTACTCTTCAAGGGCAGCCCCATGGAGAGTGCATTGCAGTAGTCGAAACGCAAGATGACCGAACGCAGGGCCTCACGATTCAGCAGGAGGTGGTGGGGGGGGGAGGCCCATGCTCTCTCCCAGGCCTGGACAAGACAGATTGTTTTGGCACTGGCTTTGTTGCTAATTGAATCCGTTAATCTCTTATTTAATTCTTTTAACAATTTATGATTTTTTCTAGGAGATTCTCAGTCATCCAGGTCATAGTTATTCCAAGTATGTTTTTTCACGAGGCAGTTGGATTTTCTTGTGTTTCTTTGAAGACATTTTGCTTCTATCCAAGAAGCTTCTTCAGCCCCACCATCCAGTCAGAGCTGAAGAAGCTTCTTGGGTGAGAAGCGAAATGTCTTCAAAGAAACACAAGAAAGTCCAGCTGCCTTGTGAAAAAGCATCTTTGGGATAATTTATGATTTTTTTTCAAATTTTCTTAACTGAATGCTCACCAGAGTAGGAGTAGACATAGATCAAACAGATCCAATTTCTAGAGTAAATTTGTGTAGCCTCGCAGTGTCACTCTGTGTGTGTGTGTGTGTGTGTTTGCATGAGCAAATGAGTTGTTCCACATTGTTTTTGAAATATTAGGTGGTTGAAAGGATAATGTGTTTTAAAGGTTAATGGCAGAATTGTTCCAAAAGTCTAAGATTTGGGGCGCTCCAGAACCTGATATTCCGCAGTGACAGGATTTGTGGAGCTGACCCGCCATTTTCCTTTTCCTCAGAATACGGCCGTTTTGAAGCCAAAATACACGACTTGAGAGAGCAGATGATGAGCAGCAGCGTCAGCTCAGGGTCCGGCTCTCTGCGGACGAGCCAGAAGCGGTCCCTCTACGTCAGGTGAGGCTGCTGTGGGGCCTGGCTCTGTTGCTGGTGCACAAGAGGGGAAGACTGGAGACTTGCGATCAGTTCTCCCAACGTTTTTGGGGTTCAGCGATGGCTTTATGAGAAGGGGACCCAGTGCTGCCAGTTTCAGGGAGAACGGCGGCCCGGCCTCCCTCAGTGCCCTGGCCCAGCTGCCCATCCCCGAACTGGGATTTTTCACCCACTAGGAAGGGAAGGCCTAAGCCTCGCCCTAATTACAATTTCTCCAGTGTTGCTAAAAGTGTCTCTCTTGAAATCTGTGTGCACGTGCGATACAATTTCCCTTTCTGCGGGACCTTGAAACCCCACCTGAGGTGCTCCTCTCGGCCCTCTGTTCCCTCCGGTTTCACCTCTTCCGCCGGTCTTGCCTGCCGCCCGCGCAGGGTCAGATCTAGAGAGCTGGTCCCGTTACCTCTGCCGCAGGTCTCGAGGTTTTGGAGCCCAGCAGCCCTAGCTAACTTGGTTTGGCAGGAGAGGCCTGGATATTTGAGGCTCCCCAGTAATTACTGTGTCTCTCCCTCCTGAATGTCACGAAATCTGATCCATGAGGGGTTTATCCAGTCATTCTGCTTGGCTTGATCTTCTCCAGCTCACCAACCCCAATAATACCGGCCTGCCCCCTGCCTTTGTTCTTCTCCAGATGCTCTCATCTGGCTCTCCTCCTCCTCCTCAGCTCCTGGGGTCTCGAAGCACAAGGGCAGGTCCTTCTCCCGGCCCTCGCCCCGGCTGCTCTGCTTCGGCATGAGCTCCGCAGCCTCTGCCTTTCACTTAAGGGTGTCACCCATCCGGTCTCAGTAACTCCCATTAAGCCATATTTCTCTCCCACCCCTTTACTTTAAGAGGTCTTTCTGAAGGTCTCTTACACCCTGCACCTTGGCACAGCAATGCTAAACATCTTGGGTCGTGCAACTTGAGCTCATACAATTGTAGAAGCAAAGCAGAATATATTCAGACTGCAGGAAGAATATGAGACTTTATACATTTTTTGGGTGCTGAAATCGCCACTTAATGCAGCCGCCTCTCCCCCAGCCGATGATGCACCACCAAGCCTCGTCACGCTTCTCCGTTGCCCAGCACTGTTTTTGGGAAACCCAGAGCACTTAAGTGGTTTTCTCCTGGGGACGCAAAGGCCCTTCTCGGATCTTGTCCTTTCCCCCCCCCCCGCGCCCCCCAGGATTGCTGGCTTCTTCCTCCTGATTCTGTTCCCTAGTCACACGTTCCGCTTTTCTCCCCTTTGTCTGCAGGGCCCTCTTCGACTACGACAAGACCAAAGACAGCGGTCTCCCCAGCCAAGGGCTGAACTTTTGCTTTGGCAACATTCTCCACGTCATTAACGCGTCGGACGATGAATGGTGGCAGGCACGGCTGGTGATGCCAGGCGGGGAGAGTGACCAGGTTGGCGTCATTCCCAGCAAACGCAGGTAGCTGCCTTGCACCTCGGCCTGAGGCCTGTGTGTGCCTGCCAGGGAAGGGGCTGTGGGAGAGGGGAGCCATTTGAGATCGATTTCCTACAGGCTGCCTCCTTTCCTCAAGCCTTCGTGTCTGCCTGTGCTCCAAAGGCTTTCTCCCAAACCTGACGGGAAGGCAAGGCAGGCAGGCAGGCTGAGACCAAACTATCCCATTGGCATAAAAAGGGGCATTTTTCCTGCTCCAAAGCTCATGTAACATCCCTGTCCCAGCACCTGGGGGAGAGTCGTGGTTTTTAGGGCCTCCTCAAGGGATGAGCAGGGCTGGTGGGCCTCTGACTCTCCGGGCGAGTCCCCTTCGGAGGGCAGCGCCAGCAGGGACCTCTTCCGGCCTAGAAGAGCACGTTCGCTCTGCTGAACCTGCCGGGATCAGCACACACAGCCGGGGAGAGGTATTTCCCCATAAGCCTTGTGCCATGCTAGAGTTTCAGCCCCTGAAATGCGCCCAGGAGCCTCCTGGGGGCCGGTGCCCAGAGCAGAGGTGTTACCTGGCTCTTCTTGACCGTGCCCGGGAGCACCTGTGCCGCCATATTTGGGGCCTGCTGCAATTTCAGAATGCCTTCAAGGACAGCCGTGTGCAGAGTGCACTGCAAACCTAAGCTGTGCGTGAGTCTGAGCAGGGTCTCTAGGTCTAAGAATGTGGGCAGTTGACGCGCAAGATGGATTTTGTGCCAAGGTCCTCTTAGCCACAGGTGCCACCTGCTCTTTGAGCAGAGCTGTGGGTTCAAAATGGCCTCTAAATTGCGTAACGGTTCCATCTCCAGGTTCAGGGAGGCAGAAAACGCACCGTACTCCGTCTGGACTGGGTTGAAGTGAAGACGGTGACTCCCCATCCAGACGCCAGAGAACCTTGGGGGCCAAACTCGATGGGCCCAGGGTGGAAATGTAGAATTGAGTCTCATCAGCGTCTGAGGGTACTTCACCCCATGTGGACAGAGGATCTTGCCCAGTGCTTTCATACAGATGTTGAATGTAGTGGGGAGAGCAGAGCCTTGAGGCACCTCACAAAGTAGGGGTCTAGTACTGGACCTCTCCCCAATACAAATTTGAATCAGTCTCTAAAGAACCCTCACAGGATTTGGGGGGGCATCTCCTCCCCAACCCCCAAGTCTGTCTAAAAGGTTACCAGCGTCGGTGATATCAAAAATGGCTGAGAGGTCAAGGAGGGCCAGGTGGACGTGCCACCCAGTTTTGGACCTGCCAAAAGTCATCCGTGTGACCAGAGTTGTCCCATTGCTGTAACCAGGTCTGAGTCCTGATCGAAAAGGATCCAGATAATCTGTTTCCTCCGGGATTCAAGGCAGCTGAAGACTGACAGCCTTCTTGGCCAGCTTCCCTAAAAAAGGGAAGTTTGGAGACGAAGGCAAATTGTACAGTTGTGATGGATCCAGCAATGGCTTCTTGCAGGCTCTTTCCCTCAAAGACACAATCGCCACGGCATGGGTCCAGCCACCTGTAACCCCCGAGGGGCTTTGAGCAGCCAGAAGGGGCGCTGGTGGCCGAGCTCCCGGTCCCAGGGACCCATTGAGGGGAACGGATTGGACTCTCTACCACTGACCAAGCCAAGCCACGTTTCCCTGGGATGTAAAGCTGAGGGTCCGCTCCCCTTCTGACCGGGCGCTGGAAGGCCTTAAAGGCCTTGATCTGGCAGGGATTGAGCCCCTTGTTGGATGGGTTTGGCTAGATTTCCCCTTTGCTTCACCATCTATTGTGTATTGTGTTTGTTACCTTCTGCTGCTGCTTTGGGAGCAGCCCAGAGTCAGATGAAATGCGTACATTTTGCCACTCCTGGTGCACAAGGGGATGCTTTCAACAGGTGGATCTGTGAACTGCTCCTTGATTCTCCCCATTATTTTGTGGCCCGTTCGGCAAGTACTGAGTGGGGAGAGAGACCCGCCCCAGCAATCCCTCTCTGCCCAACTCCAGTGGCCTTTGCTGAGAGAGAGAGAGAGAGAGAGGCGCACGGCGGTTATGTCCCGGGAAGGAAAGGTTCAGAGCCGCAGACCCTCGTAAGTTTTTCTCCTGCGTTTTCCTTGCAGAGTGGAGAAGAAAGAACGCGCACGGTTGAAGACGGTGAAGTTTAATTCTAAAGCAAGAGGCGACAAAGGGGTGAGTTTGGAGTAATGGTTGCCATTTTAGTGCCTGGCCACTGCAGAGTCACTGCTGGAGCAACAGGGAGAGAGAAGGGAGGAAAGACAAAGTCTTCGCTTGGGCTGATTGACGCAAATTTGAATATTCTGAGTAGTTTTTCCAACACTAAAAACCTAAGGGAAATTTGAAGGGGGAAAAAGACCCCAGATAATCAGAGGTTGGTGAAGGATGGAAGCATTGAGGAATTTCTAAATATTTGTTCTTGTTAAATTCAACTGTGTGTGTGCGGGGGGGGGGCCTTCAGGTGTAAGGCTGCTTAAAATTCAAGCCTCTGATAGAGATGACTGTCCAGTCTCCTCTCCTCTTCGTCCACCGCCTCTCTGGGCCACGGATTTACCCGTTTGGAGGTTTTTCCTGACGTTCCCTCAGAGCCGGCCTTCCTGAGCCTCCGTTGATGCCCTGGGAAGCAGAAGGTGGGCCAGACCAGGCTGCCACCAGGCCGGCTGTTTCTGTTCAGTGGGGAAGGCCGGTGCCCCTGGCCACGGCTGAGCCTTCTCCTGCCAGGGTCCAGCGTTTGCAAGTCCCCTGGATATTCAGCCGAGCGAGCTCCCTTGAATTGCTTCCCTCGGCTCTGCCGGTGGCGCAGGGCCCACCTGGGCCTCGTCTGGTCCCGGCTGCCGTAGCCCCATCCCTGGGGACACCAGAGCTCTTCCACAGACCCCTCCCCACCTTCGAGGGGTATCGTCAGGAGTCCCACCTCTACCCTAACCCTAAAGCCCACCCTTTAGCCTTCTCACAGTAGCGCAAGGAGGAGGCCGTTCTGAGGTTTCGGCAAGAGTCCCGGATGCTGAAGCTCATGAGCTGAAGGAGAGTCCCAGGGCAGGTCCTGATTCCTCGTAGGCACTTCTGAAACCAGACGGCCTCCAAAAGCACTTGGCAGATTTTTTGCGAGGGCAGGAGTAGGCAGGTATTGCAAATACAGAAGCAAAAGTTCTCCCAAGGGGAAGAAGGATGGGATGTAAGGGTGGAAAGGGATCTTATCTCGTCTGATCCCCTTCCCGGAGCAGAACTCCACCACTACGGCATCCCGGAGAGATGGCTGCCCGGTCTTTGCTTATACAAATCTGGTGAAGGAAAGTCTCCACCTCCTGAGTAAACCTTGTTGAAGCAGCTCTTATGGTTAGGAGACGTTTCCTGCTGTCCAAAGGAAACAGATTGGTTTCTCTGTAATTTAAACCCAGAGTTTTTTGCCCTATCATTAGAATAGTGGAACAATTCTGTCACTTATATTACACAACAACCTTCAGCTACTTAGAACCATCGGGCTGGAAGGGACCTTGGAGGTATCTAGAATGGGATAGAGCTGGAAGGGACCTTGGAGGTCTTCTAGTCCAACCCCCTGCTCAAGGCAGGAGACCTTATTCCATTCCGGACAAATGGATATCCAGTCTCTTCTTTAAAACCTCACTGATGGAGCCCCCACAATTCCAGGAGGCTAAGCTGCTCCATCGATTCATTATTCTCAGGGGCAGGAAATTTCTCCTTAGTTCCAGGTTGGGTCTCCTCTCCCCCTAGTGAGCTTCCCCCCTTTGCCATTACATTTGATGCCCTTCTCTATACTCTTTCTAGGGTCTGAGTCACGATGCTTCTGGGTGGCCATTATGAGGCATGGAAGACCAAATAAAACCCTTATGCCATCTTGGAAATCATATCTAGATGATGTAGGATCTAGGAATCCAGGCCTCTGTCTCTGTGCCTGTGCCCCCTCCCCCGCCCAGGGTTCAAGCTCCCCCTAATTCTCCTCCTCTCGCCCTTTTGTGTCCATCCCTTCTCCAGCCTGGAATGCGGCCGGCTCCGTGTTTCTCTCCTGATATCCCCCGGTCTGGCCATCGCCAGTTACCCGGACATTCATTGCTCGTCCATCTCCTATTGTAAAGTATTGGGAAATGTACTTTTTTGTGCATTTTGGGGGTCAGGTGATTCGTGGTTTCATTTTGGGACACTGAGGATGGAGGAAGGCAAAGTGAATGGGTAGCTGACTGTACCCAAAGCACCATACGAGGCTCAGCTGCAGGGATCCCTGGGCCTCTTGGGCCTGGCGTGGTTCAGTCTCTTGGGAAGAGCGAATGTGCTGGCCTGGCCCTCTTGGTTTGCCCCCCCCCCCCCCCGTGGGGACTGTGGCTTGGCTGACCTGTGACGGTGCAGCCAGAGGGACGAAGAGGAAGAAGAGCACCTGGATCTATAACTGTTTGCTCTCTACAAGTTCCCTCACGATCATTATCCACTCTTTTCCATTTGGTCCTTCCTTCCTTCCTTCCTTCCTTCCTTCCTTCCTTCCTTCTTTCCTTCAGACTTGGAGTGAAAAAATAAACTCCAGAAGTGAAGTGTGAGAGGCTTGATTGCCCACACTAGGAGGCGTGTGTGGCTGCAGCCAAAAGCCCTTTGGAGGCCAGCAGCCCTGGGCATTGGGGAGCTAGCAGAGTGTCTCGCTTGCTTGCCCCCCCTCCCCCCCCCCCCCAAGATTTGCTGACTGATCCAGCAGCCACACCTGGCAATTCCCTGCCCAGGCCCCCACACTTGGAGAAATCCTCAGGGCTTGGCCAAGCAGTTGTCAAATCGTGGGGGTGGGGGTGGGGGTGGGGGGGTGGGATAATTGCAGGACAGTTTATTTTTATTGGTTGATTGGTTTGATTTCTGTAGCTGCCCATCTCAAGAAGGGCAGGGTGCATCAGTTATGCTGCACTAATCTCCCCCTTGCCCCCCCCCCCAACAACGTCTTGCCCTTCTCCGTGGCTAGAAGGAGCAGAACGTCCTGAGGCCGCCCTCCGTTTGGCAAACCAGTTGTTTACGGGACCCCTCGGAGTCCGGAGTTACGTTTTCTTTTAGGGAAGCATGAACCGCTCTCTGTGCAGCCTCCTTGCAGCTGAGCTGCCCGTGGCTCTTGTACCTTAACCCTGCACCAGACCCATGCATGGAGACCGGAGGAGGAGGAGGAGACCCTCAAGTACGCTTGCCATTGAGAGACCACTGCCTGCCTGCCTGCCTGCCTTCCACGCCTCGCCTTGATGTGGGCTTTCCCCTGGGGAGCCTGTTCCCCCCCCCGCCCACCCGCCTGGCATCTTCCTGGAAACGCTGAGCATGCTTGCCCTTGCTGATGGCCGCTTAATACCCCCTTGCCCTCTTTGATCAGGAGCGCACGACGGCCTGATCTTTGGGAGAACTAATCGGGCGCAGCAGAGAGACGGAAACTTTGTGGAAAATCCACCGGTCCCTTGGTGCTGGTGATGGTGCTGGTGGTGGTGGTGGTGGTGACGATGGGGTGTTCCCTCTTCTGCAGTATGATCAAAATGCCCCATTCAGGGCTCCCCGCTAAATGGGCTGGCTTCTTTGCTCACTCAGTGTCCACTTCTGCTCCGTAACCTGCTGGGACAGACGGGGCTGGCCGGCTGTGGCCTTTCCTTCCCGCTGCCTGCCCCTGTCCCTGCCCCCCCCCCTGCTAATAACGTTGGTGCTCCGTGAAGAGCTTCTAGTCCGCAATGGCTAACACTCCTGCCAGCTCTCCTGCCCAGGGAAAGCCTCGCGGCTGACGGCTTTCACGAGTCCACAGGCGAAGAGACTTCTAGGCACATTTTATTTCATTTTATTTTGCTATCGGAGCCGACTTCTAATCGTTCTCCATGCAGCAGAGGAGTCCAGTCCATTTCTGCAAGTGGGGGAGGCAGGACGGGCGGGAGTTTTCGTTCCACCCTGTCCCTTATTCTATCTGGGGGGGAAAATCATGAAAAGTTGCCCAAACCCCTGGCGCTGGAGGTTCATTTACGCAAACCCTCCTGGACCTGGAAGGGTGTGTGTGTCCCCCTCCCTCCCTCCCTCCTGGCTTTATGCTGGAGCTGTGCCGTAACTGGTTGGGAGGGCTCAGGCTCCCCCTGGAGACCGAATTCACCGATTTATGAATTTGCACAATCCATTAAACTATTACCTAAGAGTTAACCCTCCCCCCCCCAGGGTTAACCAACTGAGCCTATTTTAGCTGACCCAAGTCCAACATGTTGGTGAAGGTAGCCAATTGCTCTTCACCTGCTTACCTGGGGCCCAGAAGGCTTTCGGCAGCATTCCTGCTTAGTGTTTCCAGCCCTTCCCGTACCCCTCCCCCCCCCCCACCCATAGTTGGTGACTTTGGTCCCCAGTGAGCCTCAGGGAAAGGTCAGCTTGCTTGCCCCCCCCTCCAGTGCCCAAGCAGAGTGTTGGGGGTCTAATGGGACCCCAAGAGCTGCAGCCAAGACAGGCAGCTCACCATGGGCTCCTCGGTGCCAGCCACTCCCGGGGATCCCTGGGGCCGGAGTCGGTTAGGCAGGGTGCCTGGAAACCCACAAGCTCTTCAGGCTAAAAAGCAGGCCTGCTTTCCTCCCCCTGTCCTCTTCTGCCCAGGGGAGGGGGAGAATAACGTTATTCCTTCCGAAATCTATGCTGCTTCCCTACCAGAAGGCCCAAAGCATAGACAGACGTCCGGTGACTCGCTCTTGAAAGAGAGGGCATCGTAGGGACCGGCCTTATTTATTTCTGGGCACAAGAGCCCAGAAGGCAGAGCCCCTCGTCCCTCCCCCCCTCCCCCCCGCTGAGGACAGGGCCCCGGTTCGTCCCCGTCCCCCCTCCCAAGACTTGGGCAGAGAGGGGTCTGCATGCTGGAGGGTAGAAGTCGGTCTCCCCGGAGCGGCTGCTGCTGCTGCTGGCGGCCCTGGGCCTTTCCGACCTGCCGGGCGTCCGACACCCACCCTCTGTTTGCCCCTCTTTCCTTCTCTTCTTCAGCAGTCATTCAATGACAAGCGTAAAAAGAACCTCTTTTCCCGAAAATTTCCCTTCTACAAGAACAAGGACCCGAGTGAGGCCGAGACCAGTGATGTTGACCGTAAGTATGGGGGGTGCAGTGTGGCCTGGAAAAGGGTCCCAAGAGCATCCGTGGGGAGCCAAGCCGTGGGTCGAGTGGAGGGGGGCAGCTGGCAGGCAAAAACTCTCCTTTTACGGCCGATGGGGGGGGTTCTCACTGCCCCACTTTGAGACGGGGCTTCAGGGGAATTGTGCTTTTGAGTGGAGGGGGGGCTGGTGGGCTGGCTCCCCACGGATGCTGCTGGGACCGTCCTGGAGCAGCCTCCGGAGGATGCGCTACTGACGGATGTTTTCTCTGTGATTGCCTCCTTGCTTGCCCTCGGGGAACTACTCCACAGGAGATCCCTGGAGACATGGGATCAAAAGGCCTGAGTAAGTGACCCCCCTCCCTCCCCCCTCCTCAGCCCCCACTGCCCCCTCCCTCCTTCCCTGCTGCAGGGGAGCTTTCCAGCCTCTCATCCCTTTGGTCTGGGGCCGAGAGGACTAGAGGGAGGAGCCTTTGCGGAGGCTCAGAAATGCCCCCCCCCCGATACATTTTTCAGGGGTTTCTTTCCTGGCAAACGTGAAAGTGGCCTTGAAGAACGCTGCACTGTTGGTAGAGAAACGGCTGGAGAAAGACTGCCGTGACCAGGACTCTCTCCAGGCCTTCCTGCCCCACACGCTCTTCCCCTGACCCGGTTGCTGTTGCTGGGCAGGGGGCTTTCCCCATGCACAGGCCGTCCTCGGCAGCCCCTCCCTCCCTTCTCCTAGGGCGGCTTAGCCCCTGGGTTAAATCGGGACCAGGTTTTCCCTCTAAAATACACCCAGGTCTGCTGTAACATCACGAAGGTCTTCCCTCGACTATGCGCTTGACCTGTGCCGCTACCCCTCCCCCACTCCCTGCCTAGCTCCCCCTCCACTCAGAGCAGCGCCTCTCCCTGGAGGGGTCCCGAGGCTGCTCGGCCCGCAGAGCCACCGGGGGCCACTTTCCGGGGCTTTGGCCCTTGGCAGGGGACCAGCTGCCCTCTGGTTAGCCTGCCTTGCCTTGAAGGCGATTCTTTGGGCAGGTAAAAATCCCCAGGAAGGAAGAATGGGGAGGGTCTGCCTACAGTGGACCTGCCTCCTGCCTCCAGGCGAGTGCGGTCAGCCTGGCTCTCTGCGGTCAGTGGGAGGCCGGCTTCTTAAGGCCTTTTCTCTAATAAGCCATCGTGGCAGGAGGGTCTCCCGGCTGGGTGACGGGGTGTGTGGGGGGTGTGTGTGTGTGTGAGCGAGCCTTGGTGAAAAGGCTTGAAGGTGGGCCGCAGGTTGGAGAGGGGTCAAGCGATGCAGGGCAGGCCTCTCCTGGGCCTTCCCGAGGAGGAGTCTGGCTTCATCTTCTCAAGCTGGCAGCTCTGGGCCTCCTTTTCGCTGCAGGCAGCTTGGCCACCATGCAGGCCCCAGTGCCAAGGCGCCCCACCACTTAGCCCCTCTTCCCCGCCCGCCCGTGTTCAGACTCGGTTCCCCTGCTCGCCCCCTAAAAAGATGAGAGAGCCCTCTGGACTCCCTCCCTCCCTCCCTCCCTCTGGGCTGTGGTGCAAGGCTTCTCTTTTCCTTTTCAGCCGACTCCGGACGGCTCCCAGTCAAAAATTAAAAGACATACGAGATCATTTTAAAATTATAAAACACAACCGGTTAAAACATTAAAGCAACAGAAACCTGGTGCCAATCCCTATTAGCAAGCAAGCCATCCGCTCGTTCTCTCCCAACGCTTGGAGGGAAAGAAAAGCGGCCTGAAAAGGCGCTTTGGCAGCCAGAGTGACCGGGGGGGGCTGCCCCGTCTTCTAGGGGTTCCCACCCTTAGCTCCTGCCTCCCCCCCAAAGGAAGCCCGCAAAGGGAGCCTCAGGCAGCCCACGAGGGCCACGGCTCAGGCTCATTCTGGACCCTTCCAGAAGACACCCTGGGCTCCACCGCCTGTAGGCCAGGCTTTCCTTGCTCCCGGTGGAGACACCCAGCCCCCTTGGGGCCCTACAGCTGCGTTTTTGGGGTGGGCGGCTGCTCCCCATCATGGCCGGGTTCTGATGAGGGTCTTCTCTGAACCCGCCTCCTCCGGGTTATGCCCACCTCTGTTTTGTGGAAATGAATTTCGGAGGTCAGCGATGGGCTGGATGTGGGTCCTGGTCCCGATCCCTGGAAAGGGGGCAGAGGGCCGCCTGTGTAACCTCCTTTCTCTGGAAGTGTGTTGTGAATTGTGGGTTTCTCTTTCGGCTTTAGGGATGTTGGCCATGGAGCAGGAGAGCCGTGATGTGTGTCAAGAGAGGCTTGTCAGATACTTTATTATCCTAAGTTGCCCCTGGAGGTGTCCTTCGGCCTTTGAAGGCCCTTCGGGTTTCTTGGCAGGGCTCCTAATTTCTGCTTTGTACTTCTTTTCAGAGCATGTGACTTCCAACGCCAGCGACAGTGAAAGCAGTTACCGTAAGTGTATGGAATTGTGTTCCCTTTTGCTGTTTTTTTTCTGGGAACTTACAGAAATTCAGGCTTACTTTTAAGAGCACTTGGATAACGGGGCTGTCCTTGACGCTTCAGCTGGTGCAAAAGTCGGTGGCTGCCAGTTGGCTTTGTGGGGGGCAATTCAAGGCGCTGGTAAAGCCCACCGTGGCCGAGGGCTGGGTGAACTGCGTGGGCCCCGTTGAGCAAGGGAGGTTGTCTGATGTGACCCAGGAGGAGGAGGAGAGCCTTTTGTGCCTCAGTGGCCGTCCTGTGGCCGCTCATCCCACCGGAGCCTCCTCTTGCCTTGTGCTTCCCAAAGGTTCTAAAGACGTGGCTGGGCCAAGGGTTCGGTGGACCTGGCGGAGGTTGGGAGGCTGCTGGGTGGCTGTGCTGGTTGGCCCATCCCTCGCCCTTGCCGGCGTTTTGTGCTTTCTGGTTTTTATTTTGCTTTTAGTGGAGTTTTAAATTGGTTTCAAGGGGGTCTTTTTTGCTTGTCCTGGGCCTTTGAAGAAGAGCGAGAGGGGCCTTTGTGGTGTTTCTTCACCAATCCTGTTGCAAAGTTCATTTCAGCAGACTGAAAATAAAACCCTTTCACTGAAACATTATTGACCTCATTAAGGACTCTGTAAGCAACAGGTGCAAAAGAAAGAGAAAATTAAAAACTGAAAGAAGTGCGTTAAAGGTGGTTGAGAGGTTGGTCTTCTCCCCTTCCTAGTGTCTCTGTTGTTCTCCAGCGTTAATCTGCAACCGGCTTCCCTTGCAGGCCGTGGTGGGCTGAGGCCTCCCGGGGAGCTTTAGGGTTTTGTGTCAAAGCTGCTGGTGGCTGGCAGGAGGCCTGGCTGGACAGGAGCTGAGGGGAAGGAGGGCATCATATAAACAGGCGTGTTAGATCACGGTCTCTGATGGTTTCTCTTTCTGACTTTCTAGGTGGCCAGGAAGAGTACGTCTTGTCTTACGAACCGGTCACACAGCAGGAAGGTTTGTACCGTTCGGCCGCCGGAGAGAGTTTGCTTGGCGAAGGCCTTGCCTGCGGGCTGGGATGTAGATCTCCTTGTTCAGCACCGCAAAGGGCGCAGCCGTCAGATCTCGCCTTCCCTGCCCTGCGTGGCTGCTGAGCGTGTCCTCTTCCACCTTACGTGCCCAGATCAATCAAAACTACCTTGTGGTTTTGAAGTGTGTGGAGGACAGAAAAAAGTGGAAGGGTGCTCAAGAAGAGGTTGCCCATCCATGCTTCTGGTCCTCAGGGTTGGGTTGCTGAAGAATGTCTTTGAGGGACTGACTCAAAGTGGAGTGTCAGTGGCCCTCCGTCCTTTTCCCACTTCCTCGGGTGTCTTCCAGAAAAGGGGGTGCTGCTCTTGCTAGGGAGACGTGGCTCTTTCGCCCTCCCCTCCCTCTGCCAGAACCCCCTAACCGGAGGCATGTTTTCTGTTTTTTCAGTCAGCTACACGCGTCCTGTGATTGTCTTGGGTCCCATGAAAGACCGCATCAACGACGACCTCATCTCGGAATTTCCTGACAAGTTTGGCTCTTGCGTCCCACGTATGTATGCCACGTGGGGGTGGGGGCTGACGAGGGGATGCGGGTGGGCGCTGTGGGTGGCTGCTGGTGGCTGTGGCTGTTCCCCTCCTCAGGGCGGTTGAAAATTGTACGCCTTTTCAATGCGGCCACTTGCAACCTGCCTGGCTTTTGTAAGCGATGGCTGGAGTAGCCCCAGAGCATGTGCGGGCGCAGCCCCTGGAAGCCTTCAGCCAAAATTTCAGGTGGGTGACAGAAGTGACGCAGCAGGAGCAGCCGTCGTCCCTTTCCCCCCCCCCCCCCGGTTCCCAGGAGCCGCCCTTGGTGGGTCCAAGACCACCTCCCTCCTGCTGGGATCTGGCCGGGTTCCTCCAGGAAGTCAGGTGCTCCCGGATGAGGCAAGAGGGGCGATTCTGAGAGGCTTTGAACTAAGAAAAAGCAGTTTGTGCGAGAGATCTCATGCCTCCCCTCTCCCGCCCGCCCCCCCGTGTCAGCCCTTTGAGGTAGACCAGACAGGTAAAACCCCAGCCCTCCCCCTTCTTCTAGAAGGCTGCCGTCACAGAACCTGGCGAGTCTGGGCAGGGAGGGCTGAGAGGCTCTCTCCTTCTTTTGCCGGCCTCTGGGTCTGCCTCCTGACTCTCAAGGTGATGGCAGGCTGTCTTCCTGGCCCCGCTAAATGGGTCAGAGCTAGCCTGATTTCCGCTGGCCTGGCTGCGTGTGAGGTTCCCCTGGGCAGGCGCAACCCCAGGAGAGGCTCTCTCTCTCTTCCTGGGTCCTTCCTGAATTGGCACCTGGGCCCACCGCGGCCTCCTCTAGGGGTGGAGAAGACAGAGCAGGCAGGCGCCCTGGAGCAGGCCCAGAATCCGCTCACAAGCGCATTTGCCCTGATCGAGTCTGTCTGAAAGGAGATTGCAGGAGCCCCTTTGGACCCCCTAAAATGGCTCCGCCAGAAAGTTCTGATTCTTTTCTTTCCGATGACCTACGAGGTTTGCAAGATGTCGAAGGTGGCTTTTAAATCTGGCGATATGCCGGCACTCGGAAAAGCCAGAGCCAGTTTGAAAAGCGCCATAAAAAGAGCAAAGCAAGCCTGTTGTCAGAAAATTCAGAACTTTTTCAGGACTCAACGAACACCAGGTGTTTATGGCAAGGCACAATGGCCAGGCCATTACAGACTAACAGGTGATTCTGTCATGTGATAAAGGCGACACAGACTTTTTAAATGAGCTGAACTCATTTTTTGGAAGATTCGAGGCATCTGCAAGGAAAGCTGCGCTCCATTCTGACGAGCAAGTGCTTAGCTTTGACGTTACCTCTGTCTGGAGAACACTGCGGAAAGTTAACATTCGGAAAGCAGCAGGCCCAGATAACATCCCTGGGTGGGTCCCTAGGGAATGTGCAGATGGACTGGCTCATGTTCTTACAGATATTTTCAATCTTTCACTGCAGCAGGCAGTGGGTCCCGTCATGTTTTAAGACGACCATCATCTTGCCAGTGCCAAAAAAAAGTCTATAGCTACGAGTCTCAGTGACTACCGTCCGGTTGCACTTACAACCATCGTTATGAAATGTTTTGAGAGGCTGATGAAGGACATTATTGTATCCAGCCTCCCTCTAGCATTTGACTTGCTTCGGTTTGCTTACCGTTCAAATTGCTCTACAGAGGATGCTATTTCTTCTGTTTTCCATCTGAGCTTGGCACACTTAAGAGGAAAGAAACACTCATGTGTGCGAATGCTGTTTGTCAACTTCAGTTTGGTATTTAATACAATCATTCCTCAGCATCTAGTAGACAAACTGGGCCTTTTAGGATTCAACACTCCTTTGTGCAACTGGATTCTTGATTTTCTTACTGACAGGTCCAGTATGTGTGAGTTGGGATTAATATTTCTAACACCATTTTCTTGAGCATAGGTTCTCCTCAGGGCTATGTCCTAAGTCTGCTGTTGTTCATCCTTTTGACCCATGACTGTTGTGCCAGGTTTGCCACCAACCATACTGTGAAGTATGCGAATGATAACAACATTAGTGGGCCTTATTCAAGATGACAATGAGGGTGCTTACCGAAAGGAAGTAGAGGGCTTTGGTGAACTGATGTAACAAAAACAGCCTTGTTTTAAATATAGGAAAAACTAAAGAGATCATTGTTGATTTCAGAAAAGGCAGGCACAGCCACACACCTCTGTGTATTAATGATTCTCCTCTGGAGGTGATTAGCAGCATCAAGTTTCTGGGTGTGCAGCTAATAAGTAGTCTAGCTTGGTTGCTCAACAGCGAGACACTGGCAGAGCAGGCACAGCAGCCCCTGCATTTTCTGAGTCGCATGGGAAAAGCACATCTTCCTTCCCCTGTCCTTACCACTTTCTACAGAGGAACGATCGAGAGCATCCTGTCACACTGAATTACTGTCTGGTTTGGAAGCATCCCTGCTTCAGACAAGAAGGCAGTGCAGAGAGTGGTGAGGACGACAGAAAAGATCATTGGCAGTTCCCTCCCTTCCATCCAGGACACGGCATATAAGCGATGCCTGAGCAGGGTCCACAGGATTGTCTGGGATGCTACACATCCTCTTCACGACCTGTTTTCCTTGTTCCCTTCTGGGAGGGGCGGGGGGCTCCGTGGTATCCGAAGCAGAACATCCAGATTCAGTCACAGTTTTGTTCCATACAGCATCAACCTTGTGAACTCTCAAGTTTCCTCTTTCCACTATGTATTCAAAATGGAGAATGATTAATATATATATATATATATATGCATGTGTATATATATATATATTAATCATTCTCCACTTTGAATATATAGTGGAAAGAGGAAACTGTATATATGTATATGCATATGTATATGTATATAGCATGTGTATATGTGTGGTATCTATGTTTATGGGTAGATAAATACTTTATCTTGAGAGCAGGCAACAGAATTTTATTTTTAATGTGGGCCAGTGTGTTCATAGTAAAAAATGACAATAAAAGTTGTCTTATCTTTCTGAAGAGCCTCTGGCTCTCCCACCAGAGCCATGATGATTGTGAAGGGTCATCCTACCTACCTACACACACACACACACACACACACACACACACCACCCTTCTGTCAATCATGCTTCTGGGCTCTGATGTGTGTTGTGTGTACATCTTGTTGGGTCTCGTGTCCGGCTGCTTTGCAGCATCAGTAGAAGAACTCGTTGCCAGTGGACGTCCGCTCAGCCTCTGCTTCCTCTCCACACACCCCCTCTCTCTCAAAAGATACGACCCGGCCGAAACGAGATTACGAGGTGGATGGGCGAGATTACCACTTTGTGATGTCGCGAGAACAAATGGAGAAAGACATCCAGGATCACCGATTCATTGAAGCCGGCCAGTACAACAACCACCTGTACGGGACGAGCGTCCGGTCCGTGAGGGAGGTGGCCGAGAAGGTAAAGGTGCTTCTCCCCCACCCTGTATTGAGGCCCTGCGGCCAGTGGTGCTGAGCGCCCCCTCAGGCAGCCTCTCCTTCCCTGCCAGGGCAAGCACTGCATCCTTGACGTTTCTGGGAACGCCATCAAGAGGCTCCAGAGTGCCCAGCTGCACCCGGTCTCCATCTTCGTCAAGCCCAAGTCCGTGGAGAACATCATGTGAGTGCTTGCCCCTTTCTGCCCCTCCGGCTGCTGCTGGGGCTCCTTCGGACCACCCCCAGGAGCCTTCCAAGGGAGCGGAGTCCTGGCTGGCTGGCTGGCTGCCCTCTTCCCCCCCCTCCCCCCCCTTGAGCTGAAAAGGCGACTCCCTCCCTTTTCCCTTATGCTCATCATGCCTGTGACATAGTTCCACAAAGTTATTAAAGTGGGGAGGGATGGCAACCTGGGGAGGTTGACATTGGAGAACCCCCCCCCGTCGCCCACGCCCATTCCCCACCCCCTAACCAAGGGAAACCCTGTCTAGCCCCCCCTCCTCGACCTTCCTGTGTGTGTTTAAATCTGATAAATCTGTTTTGTTGCTAATGCTGAGTTTGAAATATCTGCAAATTCAGGGAAATGAATAAGCGATTAACGGATGAGCAAGCTCGAAAAACCTTTGAACGGGCCATGAAGCTGGAGCAAGAGTTTACAGAACATTTCACAGGTGGGGAGCCTCTGCCTCCGTCCCACGTGTGTCCCCAATGCCGTTGGTGCTCCCTTCTTTTTGCTATCTGGGGGGGGTATCCCAAAATGTCCCAGGAGCAGCCGGAACGTTCCCTGTCTTGGGGATGATGGCAGGAATCGGTTGTCTATGTGGCCCTGGAGCCGGCCTCTGTGATGCCTGGCCTCTGGAGTCTGCACCAGGCAGTTCTCTCCTCTGGTTCCTGAGTGCGAGAGATGCTCCCGAGCTTGGCTCTGTCCGTGGAAGGCCCAGTTAGGGGAGGTTGGGGGCCGGCTGCTCCCCATTTGCAGCGTGTGGTTTTTGCACCCGCCATCTTTGGGGGATTCGGCCCAGGGGTCCCCTGCAGTTATCTAGGGATCTGGAAGGAGAAGGCCCTGAATAGCCCCCCCACCCCCCACCCCAGTTTCTGAACATCTTTAGGACAAGCACACAGAGAATCCAGGGGGACCAAGCCTCGCAATAGAGTTGGGGGGGGGAACTGCAAGAACTCTGCAGAAGCAAGGGAAAGAGCAGAATGGGGTCCTCAGCAGCTGTCTTGTTTGTGTCCCTACAGCCATTGTGCAAGGCGACACATTGGAAGAGATTTACAATCATGTCAAGCAAGTCATTGAGGATCACTCCAGCCCCGTCATTTGGGTGCTGGCCAAGGAGAAGCTCTGAGGGTCCCCCAATTCCAGGGGTCGGCCTCCTCCACCGCCAGCCTTCCTGCCGGCCGGCACTCCCTCCTCGGGGCTCCCCTGCGACGTACAAGGCCTCTCTTTGCTTTCAGCTGCTGGTCGAGGGCTCTCTTCTCTCAAGAACCGGGAGACTCTTTCCACCCCTGTGGATCGAAATGGAGAATAATGCGGTTAAAATTCCTTAATGTTTAAGGGAAAGTATCCTTCAGAGACTCTGAGAAAACAAAGCTTTTTAACGATTTTGTAACAAGATGAAAGAAAAGTGGTCTTAATGTAAATTGTGAGCAGTTTTGCACGTTTGAATTTGCTAGCATGGTTTCCTTCAAGAGATTTGGGTTCAAATTATAATTTCGCAGTTTCTGCCACAAATATATATTTTTTCTCTTAGTTTAATAAAAACCTTTTTAAAAAAATCAAAGCTAATGTATTCTTAAATGGCATTATTTGAGAAGGAAAAACTAATTTTCATAATTTCATAAGAAAATCTTTATAGCCTCATTATTATTTTTCTTGTTGCTCTTACAGGGTGAAATGTCCTCCTGTTTTTAAACTAGATCCTACAAAACTACTTGGAATGTCTTCAGATCATAATAGATAACTGCATTTTTAAATTTTAGGTGCTTAAAAACCTTGGACTTCGCTTAAGAATTATGGATTTTGCTTTGAAAATATTATAAAGGCAATTATATGGTTATAAATTCTCAATATCTATAAATATAAATATATTCTTAGCCAGATTTTAATGAATATTTTACTCATAATAATTGCTTATTTTGTTATAATGAAACTATATATCTATATACACACACACATATATATACATATATTAAACTTTCCTGAACTAAAATCTAAGCGTGAGAACTGTTTTTCTTAAAAACGCCCCACAAAATGCATAATTTTCACATCTAGTTTTGAGAATAGAAAAGATTGATTATAAGCAAGTCAGTTTTTGCTGCTATGTTTTTGGCAGGTTCCTGTCCCATATGGGCTTCTGAACCCAGAGCAGGGCACCCTGCTGTCCCACCCCACGCCCCAGGGAAGTGGAGACGGACCTCCAGTGGTTTCCGTTTAGAGGCCAGAGTTCAAATGCTTCTGAAGCCAAGTTGGTGCAGCTTCCTTCCCTTCAGCTTCCCACAGGCTTCCCCTGTGCTTCTGGGTCCAGCTCAAGGTGATCCCCTATTAAGCCCTGCATGGCAGGGATCCAGGCTACCTGGGAAACTGGCTCAACCGATGGATTGGCCTTTATTTATTGTTTTAATGTTTTATTTTTCTTTTTATTCAATGTCTGTAAGCCGCCTAGAGCAGGGGTCTTCAAACTTGGCCCTTTTATGACCTGCACAAGTCATAAAAGGGCCATGTTTGAAGACCCTTGGCCTAGAGCCACCTTTGGCGCCATGGGCGGCATACAAATTTGATAGATAAATAAAACTATAAACAGCCCTTATCAGTTCTTCAGAAAAAGAGCTACGAAACTGTGTGAATTGCAGAGTGTATTGCTATTACATCACAGAGAAAAGATTAAGAATTGGGTTTTCAGACAGAACTCTGGAAATAAAAATGAAACTTGCCAGCAGCACCTAGTAAAGTTTATCCTGATGTAAAAGAGGTGGCTGTGGGTAGTTTCACAATAGACGTGTGTTTCTAATTTGCCATCACTAGCCTGGTGTTCTTTTCTTCATCCCTTGTGAATTTTATTCCTTGGAAGATGATGTTGGTAGTCTCCTGTGTTTTCTATAGTTGGTCCTTTTTCAATATGACAAAGGCGTCATCTGCATGCTGAATCCATCCTTTGGGTTGTATGTATGGAGTACTATATAGAGTATGGGTGCTACAGTGAGGGAAAAAATTATTTGATCCCCTGCTGATTTTGTACGTTTTCCCACTGACAAAAAAATGATCAGTCTATAATTATAATGGTAAGTTTATTTTAAAACTGAGAGACAGAATAAGAACAAAAAAATCCAGAAAAACGCATTTCAATGATTTGCATTTTAATGAGTGAAATAAGTATTTGACTAGAGTTAGTCGAAGCCAGACTGCCATCAACCGAAAGAAACAAGCCTTTGAAACAAGCCACACAGTAAGCTGCCTGGCCAACCCAGCTGAGCTGAGCACCTGGGTCAATGAGGCTGCCTGCAACGGGGGTCAAGGGGGGCAAACTGCTGGGGACAATCACCGGGGGATGTACTGTATGTATCGGTCCAAGGCCTGTAGCTGCCCATCTCACATAGCAAGGGATTCTTGAGTGGCGTACAACAACCTTAAAACAATAAATGCACTAAAAGCTTAAAAACGAAGCTAAGGCAAGTAGTGGGTGAAGAGATGTTGATGATAATGGAGCCACCCCACTAACTCCCCCCCCTCCCCCCGAGGTGCCCAGGAGGCTTGATGGCACAGCCGGATCTTGAGGGACCTTCGGAAGGTCGGACGGGACAGAGCCCACTTCGGCTCAGCTGGCATGAGGGTATTCCACAAGGGAGGCACCCCAGCAGACCCCCCACGCCCTCTGGGGCCAGCCAAAGGTTACACGGAACTCACAGACCCTAACCCTCTGCTGGGTCTGGTGGGATGGACAGATGTGCAGGGAGCGGCACTGCCTCAGATAACCGGTTCCCTGCCACGTGAGGCTGTGAAGATTAACATCAGCACCGTGAATTGGATCCAGAAATAAACTGGGAACCAGTGCAGCTCACAAAGCAGAGGTGTGTCACATAACTGCTTGTGTCACTGCATTTTGTACCAGCTGAAATTTCTGAACAGTCTTCAAGGGCAGCCCCATGCAGAGCGCATTACAGTAGGCCAGCCAGGAGGTGACCAGGGCGTGAGTAGCTGTGAGAAGGGTCTCTCGATCTAGGAACAGAGCACAACGGGCACACAACAGAGAATTGTGCATTTCTCATTTCAGTGAATAATGTTTTTAGTTTGTTCTGGGATGTTTCATATTGTACAGGTAGTTCTCGACTTGCAAGTGCAGTTAAACCCAAAATATCTGTTGCTAAGTGAGACATTTGTTAAGTGAATTTTGCAACCTTTTTTGCCACAGTTGTTAAGTGAATTACTGCGGTTGTTAAGTTAGTAACATGGTTGTTAAGCGAATCTGGCTTCCCCATTGACTGTTCTTGTCAGAAAGTCACACAAGGGGATCCCGTGACCCATCGGGACGCTTGGCAAGCAGCATGAAAACAAGTCGCTCGGCCATGAATTTTGTTCACGTGACCATGGGTGTAATGCAACCGTCATAAGTGTGAAAAACAGTCATAAGTTATATAAGTGAAGGACTGCCTGTATCTTGGGTTGTTGCCTTTGTTCCTGTTATAGTTCCTTCTTCATTTTTTTTGGGGGGGGGGAGTTGATTTGTTGGTTTTTAACGTTAACTGCCCCAAGTGGTGAGAACATCCGTGGGTGGCCAAATGGTTTATGTCATAAAAGTAGATAGATGTCCCTGAGATCAGCTGCTGTCCAATCGGGACTCGGGCTGGCTCTGTTGCTGCCAGAGGGGAGACCCTGGCCTGACCTCAGCTCGACTTCCTTCGAGTCCCCCCCCCAAGAACCGTTTCCTCCCTCCGTTTCCACGCTCCCTTCCCTGTGAGAAGAGCGAGGTGGGCTTTTGTGCCCTGTTCCCTGGCTGGCTGCTCTGGTCCTCCTTGCTGAGAGAGCCGCTATTCTTTCCAACCATGAGGTGGTAGTCCTGGGCAGGCCATACTCCTCCTTTTCCAGGCATTGCCTACGTGGGGGGGGGGGGGGCTGGAGGACACATTTATGAACCTTGGCAGTTATTAACTTCTCCAGGCACAGAGCCTCCAGCCTGTGTCCTAAGAGGGAGGGGCCAGGAGGAGGACCAGGGCTGTGGAAGGGGCCAGAGTCCTCCGTTGGCTGGCAGGGCCGGAGAGAGAGGAGACGCAGGGCTTCCGCCATGAGGCCCCCGACGGGCTTTCTTGCCCTTCTGCTTTGCTTCCCCACAGGTAGGAGGACGCTTTTCTTGGTCATGGTGGATTCAGGAGATGCTTCTGGTGCAACCTCTAGAGAAACCCCAGCCGTCTAACTTTCCCCATGCGCAGAGATGTTCCCCTTCCAGCTTGCAACAGCACCAGTTACTCTTGTATTTATCGGTGGGATTTTTGTGGGCTCATGCATTATTACTAATTGCTAACCCTTGTTATAATTTGAAGAAGAGGGGGGGGGAAATATTTGTGAAAGTATATTCCAGTAGGTTCAGGACTTTCTTTCCTTTGCTTTCTGGACAATACAGAGATGCAGACCAAGACAAAATTGCAGGCTTGTTTAATAAGAACTGCTTTGCTGCCTCCTGTTGCCCTCCGGATCATTGCAAGCGCTCGTGGGAAACCGTCTTCTCCCACCACCAGGGCTGCTCCGAATGTGAACCGGGCTTCTTCCTTACAGTGTGGTTGAAACCTTATAAAGCTGGGAAGAGGAGGAGGAGGCAGCAGCCTGTCCAAAGAGCAAAAACTGCCCCTGCTTTGGCAAAGACGCGGATTGCAATCTGCGCCTTTTCTTGGGCACAATGGCCAGAACGGCAGAACTGCAGAGAAGGGGCCTCTGGTGGAAAGAGGAGAGCAGGGTCTCCCCTCTGGCAGCCACAGCCGATGGGCACCGGAATCCGCCTTGGGTGGGAAAATCGGCCACCCAGAGCAAGGCTTGGGCAGGTTTTGGCTTCTTTCTCTGGTCGCCAAGCGTAGCCGAGGGGGTTTCTTGGTGGTTACTGAGACGGTTAACACACCAAGCGTTGCTCTCCCTTTATGCTTCTGCTCAGGCGGGTCTTCCAGCGATTCTGTTAGCCAGAAAAGTTTTAATCCAACCCAGGTAACTAAACAAAAAAACACCTTGCCTGTCCAAGTATCCAGTGAGGTGAGTCTAGTCTGAACTAACCGTTAGGAGGCTCACGACAGTGTTTCTGCTATCTTGCTGGTCTGAGTTCAGGCAGTTTGGATGTGGGCAGTGCCCAAATCCAATCAAAATCAAATCAATAAATAGAAGAAGTCAGCTAATGGGAAAGACTAGTGTGCAATCCAGAGGGATGGTTATGATGCACTTCAGTAGGTATTTTCGGCATAAATCTATTCACTGTAGTGACTTTAGTTATATTTGGAAAAGTTATTTTTCAATTTATTTATCCAATGTATATGGCCTTAACAAGTGACCCAGAGCAGCAAACAAAGTTACAATTAGAAAAGCAATTATACAGACTGCAAAAGTTAAACTACACAGTGGCCGAGCAGCTTCCACCCAAATCGCTAGCATAACTAAGAAGCAGGTCCCTGTGTAACCCTGAGGTCCCAAGCCCAGGCCAGAACCAGGTCTTCAGGGCCTTACGGAAGACCAGCAGGGTCAGGCCACCCTGATGTCCAGAAGCAGAATCTTCCAGAACTGCCCTTTTGCATGCCCTTCCTTCCTTCCTGGATTGGATGGGTAGAAACAACTGGAATTTGCAATCACAGTTTACGAGAGCACTTGATTCTGGGCTGCCTGCTATTTCAGCCAGGAATTCTGAACTGCTCTTTGCACGGGTGTGTATTTGGGTGTATGTTCTTTTCAGCTGCGACATTGAGCCTGCTGCGCTGGTGCGCAGTCTCTGACCAAGAGTTGGCCAAGTGTAGCGACATGAGCAAGGCCTTTTCCAGAGCAAACATCTCCCCTGAACTGGCCTGTGTCAATGGTGGCTCAGTGATCGACTGCGTCTCTAGGATTAATGTAAGTGTGAAATATTTGCTTCTGGATCTGTCAGAGGAAGGGAGGGCAGTGTGAACGGTGTATTGCAGGGGCCCCCAACCTGTGGGCTGTGGCCCACTACCGGGCCGTGGCCTAATTGCCACTGGGCTGAGGGAGTGGCTGGCTGGTGCTTGCTCATCTAGGACCCGACTCGCGCGAGCAGTGCTGTGAGTGTCAGTGGCCTTTGTGGCCCACTCGCGTGAACATCGTTGCAGGCACTCGCGGTCCCAGTCATGCGAGTCTCATCGCTGGAGTCCTCTGTCCCACTTGCACGAGTCTCATTGCGGGCGCCTGTGGCCCCATTCACGTCGCTGTGAATGTCGCGGGTGCTCATGCACGCACGTGCACACACACACACGTGTGCCTGCCCCTCCCACAAAATCATTCCCTCTTTCCCCGAAAGGTTGGGGAACTCTGGTGTATTGGACCTTCACGTTAAGCAGGGCAAAGCTTTTGGGAAATGGTCTGGCCACACCACCCTTGGCTGCCCATCTCCTAAGAAGGCTTCTTGTGGCAGCTGCCAGGCGGCCTCCGTCCTTATCAGGAAGTTCTCTTTTTGCATGCAGCGGAATTTGGCCGATGCAGCCACTGTGGACGGGGGCATCCTTTACCAGGCTGGGAAGGAGCACGGTCTGAAACCAGTCGTGGCTGAGGCCTATGGCCAAGGTAAATGGGTGAGAGGGGCAGCAGGGCAAGACTCAGTGGCTGCCTATTAAATAGCCATCATAAAGCTTCTCCTTTGGACCAAAGAAGAGGCCACAAGACCAGTGACCACCTCTTTGTCTTCTGCCTCTCATGGATTTTGTAGAATTACCGATACTATTTTGCACTTGAGGAACTGGAAGTGAAAGAAAAGACACTGTTCCAAATCGGACCAGCGGAGGAAACGACTCTAGCACACTGCATGTGTTGAGGGCAAAAAGCTCAGCCAGAATGCAGTGTGCAAAGCACTGATAAATCTGCATCTGTTTTCATTGTCTGCAAAGTACTTAGCAAAAGCCTTATTGGCCTCTTGTTCTCCTTTGACGCTTTTTGGACTAAGCAATGAAATTTGATGCAGCTCTTTGGATTTTAGAGCAGTTGGGTTCATTGGGGCATCAGCCGCTCCTCTACAAATAATAATGGTGATAATGATGATGATGATGACGCCACCGCCAATGGTGTTCAAGTGGTGCTCCAGTTGTTTTTCCAGTTGTTTTGCAATTCCAAAGCAACTGGAGCACCACTTGGACACCATCATCGGCATTGACAAATTCGCCATTAGTCAATTGCAAAAGGCGGCCTTACTAGGAACTGCTTCCATCCTGCGACGATATCTGTAATACCATCAAACATCCACATCTGCCTATCCCAGGTCCTTGGGAAGGACTCGACAGGTAGATAAAAATGCCAAATCCAGTCTGAACATCTGGCAGATTGTGCGATGATCAATAATAATAATAATAATAAGAATAATAATCATCATTTCTCCTCCTCTTCCTTAAAAAATAAAATATTTCATTCTGCTGTATGTGATAGAAGCGTATTATTTCCCAGACCAAGGAGGGCCGAGGGGCTTGTCTCCCTGCTACGGGCAGAATGCTATCGCTGCATGTGGGGGGGTTGCCTTCACCCGGCACTCCTCCCCGTTCACTTCACTCCTTGTGAACGCAGCAGAGAGAAGCTGGACTAAGTGGCCTTCCCGTTGCCTCTCTAGACCTTGGCACCTCCTACTACGCAGTGGCAGTGGTGAAGACCAGCTCCAGCCTGACCATCAACCATCTGAGAGGGGCCAAGACCTGTCATACAGGGATCAACCGAACAGCTGGCTGGAACATCCCGGTGGGCTTCCTCCTTGATAGCGGCCGAATGCCCATGATGGGTTGCAGTGTCACCCAAGGTAAGTCCTGTCCAGGTCGTGGGAGGCCTGCTGGGTCCACAAAAGGACTTTATCCCCCATGGTCCTTTTCCTTGGGGCAAGCAGGGAGGCAGGATGGAGGAGGATGTTGCAGCTGAAGATGCAGCCCCTCTTCTCTTTCTCCTCCTCTTTCTCTTCCTCTTCCTCTTCCTCCTCCTCCTCCTCCTCCTCCTCCTCTTTCAGCTGTCAGTGACTATTTCAACGCCAGCTGTGTCCCTGGGGCAACTGCTGTTGGGGACCCTGCCTCCCTCTGCGAACTCTGCATGGGAGACTCTGCTGGGCAGAGCAAGTGTGAGATGAGCTCCAAAGAGGGATATTATGACTACTTGGGTGCCTTCAGGTATCTGGGGAGGGGATGCTCTTTTCCCTGGAAAAGCCACAGGGGGAGGGGAGGGGGATGCCCTATTGCTGCAGAACCCTGCTGCAGGCCAAGATGGGGTCTTGGGGGCCCTCTGGGTGGGAAGTGCCGAGGGTCTGTGGCCAACGACGGCTGGTGCTCCCCACAGGTGCCTGGCGGATGGGCCAGGAGAGGTGGCCTTTGTCAAGCATACAACAGTGACCGAAGCCATGGAAGGTGAGCCATTCCACAGGGGGAGGAATTCCCTGATCTGAGTTGGACTGCCCTCTCGTCCTGCTTCACCCCCGCCCCGCTTTTGGCCCAGAAAAGACCAAATTGAGTGGGTCTGCTTTTCTTTGTTACCTGTTAGCATTTTGCATTCTTCACCGAACTCTTAGTATACCAATTCTTTTTCTTTTGAGCATATTTCTATCATACCCATCCCTTTTGTTGTGGTTGTTGTTTTAAGTGTCTTTCCCCTCCTGCAGCTTAGTCCGAGTGTTTGTGTTCCTGACATCACCACCAGGCTAGTACGCCCCCCCCCCCCGCTGCTTCTCCTTCTTTACACTCCCCATATCCCGTCTTCGCTTTGCTTTCAGGTCTCCTATGCAAAAGGGTCCTTGTCCAGTGTCTTCTCCTACCTCTCCCTCTCCCTTACTCAGATTGCGTTCTAATTGTGCTTTCAGTGTCTCCTTCTTTAGGAAGTCCTGCTCATCAGCTTCTCTTGCTGTGAGCTGTTATGTATCAGCATCGCACGTTTATAAAATTCTGCTTTTCTAATGTCAAAGGTTTGCTTTTGGCCAAATTTTCTTTTTTAGGTTGCCCTAAATAAAATATCCAACATTCCACAATCCTGTCAATTCCCAGTCAAGCCTTCCCTGCCCAGAAAAGGCTCTCTCCAATCCTCTCGGCCTTACTCAGAGGGGAAAGTGGTCAGGAATTTGCAGGAGGCAAGAGGAATTTGGGCAGAGCGTGTCTCCCATCCTCCTCCTCAGTTCAGAGGGTCCAAAGTGTGGCTGGGTGGGTGGGTGGGTGGGAAGCGAGAGGACTCCAGCCAGGGCAGGCCTGGGTCACACTCTTATTCTCCCAGTTGGCAGGGGGGAGGGGCGCGAGGGCAATCTGCTCTCCCAGAAATTTACCCCTAACTGCAGGTTGGGTTAGGTGGGCACATCTTTGAACGTCAATTATCAGAACAGACACAGCGTCCTCTGGATAATCCTTGGGTAGGTGATATAGCATGTTAACAGGATGTGAACCCAGGAATTATGGTTTGTAAACCTGGGTTTAGCAAGTTAGTGTGAAACAACATTGAAATGTAAAAGTTCAGCTATTTTGTCAGTCATAAGATGCTTCCTAAAATTATAAATTAAAAAAGGAACAGCCATTTTTAAATGGCATATATTTACTTTTCTTACTGTTTCACCATTTTAAAATAAACCTAATTTATGTTCTGGGCCCTCTTGGAATGACCCGTCTCTGCCCAGATGCTTCACAGTGTCAGCAGCCCCTCCCAAATGCCCAGCCTAGAGCTCTGCTCTGGGGTCCGCCTGGGGTGGGGGAGGAAGGGGGGAGGAGAGGCCAATCTCTCCTTCCAGGCCAATGCTCTCCTTCCAGGCCAAGCTCAGCCTTCCTGGACCTTGGAGGACTTCCAGCTTCTCTGCCAGGACGGGAGCCGGGCGGCAGTCAGCGAGTGGCGGACCTGTCACCTGGCACGGGTCCCTGCTCATGCCGTGATCACCCGGCAGGACGTGGAAGGCAGCCTCATCTTTAAAGTGCTGGATCAAGGACAGGTGAGCTTCCCAGGCTCCGTAGAGGATGGTCTTGTCTTTGCGTGTTGCTGCTTGCGAGCCCGCTAGAGTTTGAGCGACTGAAGCAACAGGCGTGTGCGTTTCATGATGCTGTCTTACTGAGCTCCCGTCTCCTCGAAGCAAATTCAGCAGGTGGTGGTCTCGGTGCTGAAGCGGTTCCTCTGCCACAGCTGTGCCTTTCACAGCTGCAGGGCTGCCCGACATCCACGGGCCGAGCAGGGGCCTCGTGCCAGGGCAGTTGCAGCTCAGGGCTGGCAGAGGGGAGACGCTGCCAAGTGGGCAGGACCCATTAATGGCACCACGCAGGGCCATGATGAGGGAGGCTCCCAGCTGGGTTTTTAAAGGAAAGAGGCCTCCTTTGCCTTTTCCAGTCTAGTCGGCATATACTGTAAAGTTCTTGGGTGCTCTTGGCAGAAAAGTCCAAGGGCCCTTCGGAAGGTTTGCTCTCTCCTTGCCAGTGCCCCATGTGGGCGGCTCAGGGCTCCTGCCGGAGCACCAGTGGGAGGCCGTGGCCACCAAAGCTTTTGGCCAGCTGTGCTCTTCCTCCTGCCCTGGCTGTCCTCTGGTTAAGACCCCCCCCCCCGAGGGCTCCAGGTAGACTCTCCCTGGAGGTGGCCCTGAAACCCCTGCTGGCCGCGGCACAGGAGGCAACGGCCCGGCACAACCGAAGATCCTGGTGACCGTAAAGGCCTCTAACCAGGCTCAGCTCCTGGTTCCCTTTTAGTCTGCCCACCATGCTCCAGCCAGGAGTGGAGGGGATGCAGGTTCCCACCCTGGGAGACGCAGAGCATGGCCTCCCCATGGAATAGCTTGCTCTCCACATGTCACGAATGATTTAGGAAGGTGGTGAACATTGGTGCTCAAGTAGACAGGCAGAGATTTATGGGTATCCTCAGGGCTTTTTTTCTCATAGAACGCCCAGAACGGAGTTCCGGCACCTTTTCTTTTTTTTTTTTACAAAAAAAGCACTGGGTATCCTGATTTATAGTTGTTTAATGGGTTGTTGTTCTTATGTATAATGTTAAGTGATGAAAATTTATTTTCAAATGCTTGGAAATAAATAACAACATGTCATGAAACCTTGTGCTGCCAGAAATTCCACAATGTGATCGGGTGGGAGCTTGGAGGCAGTAATTGGCCCATCCTTTAAGTTAAGTAGGTCCCTCTGTGAGGGAGATGGGCAGTTTCTAAATGTGATAAATAAATAAAATAAAAATAAATAAAGGACCTTCTCCTTAGGCATTTCTAGGCTGGATTCTTATCCCACTTTTCCCCCAAGAGATCTGACTTCCGTGGGGATTTTCCTCCGTTACATCCCCACACGGATCAGTGTGTCCGGTCCAAAGTTACCTAGGAAGTGTCAGGCTGAGTCTGGCTTTGACCTGGATCGCGATGGTCCCAGTCCAGCAGGCGCATCCCTGCAGCCTCCTGGCTTCTCCTCCCGTGCTTTGGCTTACTCACCCCCCCCACCCCCCCCCAGGGAGAGGGCCGCATCCTCCTGGCTTTGGCTCTTCGGCCGAGCTCTGAGGAAGGAAAGTCCTGCCACTCGGCTCTCGGATCTCGGAGGAGGAGGAGCGAGAGAGGGCAGCTGCTAGAGGTGGCCTGGGCAGGTAAAGCTTTCGGGTTTCATCTGACATTCAGGTCAGGCCCTTTTCAACTTGTCAGAGAAGGGCAGATCTGAAGCCCCTTTGTGGGCTTGTCTTCAGGAATCCAGAGGTTTTCCCAAGGCAGATGTGCTTTTTTCTCTCCGTGCTACAGCGAAGTTTCAGTGGTGGAAACTCCAGCTTCCAGATGTTTGACTCTGCAGTCTATGGAGGGAAAAATCTTCTCTTTAAAGACTCTACCGTAGAGCTGGTTCCCATTACGGAACAGACCTACCAGGCTTGGTTGGGAGATGAATACCTGCGTGCCATGCGAGGCTTGGATTGTGATCCTAAAAGTATGTCTTGCAAGTTGCCTTTATAACAAAAAAAAATGTCTTCCTGGTTCTGAAAGGGAGATTTGTCTCTTATTCACTAAGAGAGTATTCTAAGATCTTTTCCAGGGACTTTCCCATAAGGATCTCCTAGTTCTCTTTTTCTGGATGCCCCGAGGCTGTTTTTACATCATCAGGATATTTAGGGATTTCAGATTTTGGACCTTACTGAATATCTCACTGTTTGCCAGGCAGAGAAGCAATGACTTGGTTTTCTTGGTTACCACAGTGCCCTGGTAACTTATAGGGCCTTAAACTGTTTAATGTTTTTAACATTTGTATTGTTTGTAAGGCTGTTGGGTTTCTTTATTTTTTGGTCCTGCTTATGAGTTAATTGGAAGCTGTCCTGAGTCACAAATGTGAGATGGATAGCTATATAAATTGAATAAATAAATAAATAAAATGCTAGACCAGCTTTGTCCAGGGGATAGAACTCAGGGTTTGTCTCCATTGGCCTGGGAAGCCGATGGGAGCCGTTGTTTCCGCATTGAAAGAAGCCCGCGTGGGACCCCGGTGAGGCTCTTCCTCTTCCGATGCAGGGGTGCCAGGATTCCTGCGCTGGTGCGTCTTCTCAACGGAGGAAATCTGGAAATGCAGCAAGATGGCTGCCGCCTTTAAGAGCCGGAATCTGAAGCCAGAAATCCAGTGTGTTTCAGCCCAGAGTCCAGAGCAGTGCATGGAACGCATTCAGGTGAGAGTTATTTATTTTATTTATATTTCAAATTTATTGGCCACCAATCTTACTACAGGGTAACTCTGGGTGGCTTACAATATTAAAAATAAAACTGTATAAATAGAATGCTACAAAACTGTAGAAATCCAAAATACGATAGCTAAAAGATGGGGAGGGAGGGAGTAGGATGAATCGGGGGGGGGGAGTGGACCTTATATTATAAGCCAGCTTCCAGGGGAAGCCCCCCCTTACCCACCCACCCCATTGCAGCCCCAAGCCAACTGGCAGAGCAGGAGGTCTTTGGGCTCTTGCGGAGAAGGAGAGAAGCATGAGAACGAAAGGCCAAATAACCCCACTAGGGCAGACTTTCTAGGTGGTTATTCTGTCCTGCCTATGGGTAAAGCTGCCTTGCTGAAGGTGTTACGGTCCTGCCACGCCTGCTTCTTGATCTGACCTCCCTCCAAAGACTGGCACAGGAAGGGTGGCTGTGGGGGAGTAAAGTTTCTGGAGTTTATTTGTCCTCCATGGCCTCTCCAGGCTCCCTGCTGGCAGGACTCTTTGCCCTCCGCCACTCCCGACAAAGCTTAATCCCTTCGGAGGGTGAGGCTGGCTGGGGAATCGGAGAAGCTTGGCTGGGTGGCCCCTTCCGTCTCCCTTGGGCTTCTTTGGCCGGGAGTGGGACAACCCTCCACAGCCAACTCTCTGCAGAACAATTTAACAATTCTATTTAATTATTTAAAATAAATAAAAAATTATTTTAATTTTTGTCAATCACATTTCATTCTGTCCCTCCTTTTGCATCCTTTCTTTAATGATTCTATTCCACCGTTTCTTTGTTATTAGTGTAATTTTTGTCCAGCAATGAGTTGTCCTGTGGCGAGTTGTCTGTGGCGAGTTGGTTGTGGCCAGCTGGCCACGGTGAATTATCGTAGTCCCCTCCTGCCTGCCCACTGGGAGGCTCGGGCTGGTCCCTTGGCACTGCGGTGGCACACGGGACTGACCCTGGGAGGAAGCCCTGCAGACTGGAGAACCGTCAGGACTCACAGTTTGTGCGACTTGTCTAGACTATCTGGCGGGGCTAACAGCCAGAACAACTTTGTTCTGGCCCTCACCGGCTGGCCGGCCACAGTGGCCGGATTGAATGGGCTGCCTGTGGGGGGAGAGAAAGGGGCCCTCAGGAGGCAGCCAGGCCTTGAAGGGGAACATTCCGATCTCTCCGAACTTCCTTTCAGAAAAGAGACATTGATGCTGTGGTTCTGGCTGGAAAGGATGTTTACGTAGCCGGGAAGACCTATGGCCTGGTGCCGGCTGCTGCAGAGCACTACGCAGGTAAGAACACACAGGGGCTTTGTGTGCCAGCCGTTCTGCAGATGTTTGTGGACTCACCAGGAGTCCGCCAGGAAGTGGAAATATTGCAGAAAGTCTTGGACAAAAGCGATCCTCTTAGGACCTTTTGGATGCCCCACAGCAAAGGCCCCACTGAGCAGATGCCACCAGCGTTTTGCTTCGCTCCCACCATCTTTCTTAGACGCCCCACCGAGCTCTCTGGCTGAGGTCGGCTCCATTAATCCTGTGTCCCTGCTCGCTCTCCCCTTCCGGCTCCTGCTTGTGCTGCCCCTTTGATCTCACAAAAGAAAAATGGAAGAAGAAAGACGGCTTCTGGGCATGCGATTACGCCAGTTCTGTTGCAAGCTTCTTCTCCTGTCTCTTTTTTTCCTCTGCAACTAGTAGCCTGCATTAACAAATCTCACGGAGGGTGCAGTTAACAGAAATTATTGGAATAAAGCAAATAATTTAGGTTTAATATTGAAGCATCATTTCGAATTGAGGGTAATTTTCCTTTCCAGATGACAGCAGATGGCAGCAGATGAACAGTCCGATTTTCACTTGGTAACCAAAGAGAGAAGCCATCCATAGCTGGCTCTCCATCGCTGCTAGAGGAGATCCCAAAAGCGACTTGGGGATAACTGTGGCCTGGATGACTGAGAATCTCCATAGACATTTGCTAGAGGAGATGCAGAAAGAACCCGTTGCCTCAAGCATGGATGCTCTCAGCCAGTTAGATATTTGAGTATATTAGCGCTGTGAATGTCTGTGGAGATTCTGAGTCATCCAGGTGACTCGTCCCAAAGGTGCTTTTTTTCACGCGGCAACTGGACTTTCTTGTTTTTCTTTGAAGACGTTTCGCTTTTCATCCAAGAAGCTTCTTCAGCTCTGATCGGATGGTGGGGAATAGCAGGATTTATACTCCTTGCAGACAGCTGGTCATCTGCATTCTTTTAGCGGGTAGTGGTGTGAATCTACACCTGAGGTGCATTCTTATAGAAGACTTAACTACTCCCTTTCATTTGGTTGGCCTTTGAAGGTTCAAGGGTTAGTGATGGTGAGATGCGGATGTTATCTGAGTAGGTAAGGCTGGTTTGGAGGACTGTAAGCTTAAGACACACTTTCACCTTAAAACTCCCACAACTTCACCAAAAAGGGCCTAAGTTTCAGCCATTTCAGGGGCACCTGCTTGTTTAAAACGCATAAAATGCTTTCCAACTTATGTTCCTCAAAACAGCTCTTGCTTGCTGCATATTCCAAGTTGGTCCTGAAACGGAAAAAACAGCGCATTGATCGGTGTGCATCGGTTGCTCCATTCTGAAATGTTGTGGGATGTGCCAGCTCCGGCCTAAAACATATAGTAGTAGTAGTAGTAGTAGTAGTAGTAGTAGTAGTAGTAGTAGTAGTAGTAGTAGTAGTAGTAGTAGTAATAATAATAATAATAATAATAATAATAATAATAATAATAATAATAATAAAGTTGGAAGGGACCTTGGAGGTCATCTAGTCCAACCCCCTGCTCAGGCAGGTAACCCTATACCATTTCAGACAAATGGCTGTCCAGTCTCTTCTTAAAAACTTCCAGTGTTGGAGCATTCACCGCTTCTGGAGGCAAGACGTTCCACCGATTAAATGTTCTAACTGTCAGGAAATTTCTCCTTAGTTCTAGGTTGCTTCTCTCCTTGATGAGTTTCCATCCGTTGCTTCTTGTCCTGCCTTCAGGGGCTTTGGAGAAGAGCTTGTCTCCCTCTTCTTTGGGGCAGCCCCTGAGAGATTGGAACGCTGCTATCATGTCCCCCCTCGTCCTTCTCTTCGTTAAACTAGACAGACCCAATTCCAGCAACCGTTCCTTGTATGTTTTAGCCTCCAGTCCCCTGGTCATCTTTGTTGCTCTTCTCTGTACTCTTTCTAGAGTCTCAACATCTTTTTTACATCTTGGTGATATTGGTTCATTGGAGCTACGTAAGCCTTTCCTAAGAAAGTTGAACTTGAAAAACTCCAAAAGAATGTACCTGCTGATCCAGGAGAAGCACAGTCCCAGACAGGACAAAAACTGAACCCAGTTTCAACAGGCAGCACATCCCTTCTCTTGACGGGGTGTCAGCTTAACTTAACAACCTTCGGCTAGAATCACAGAACAACAGAGTTGGAAGGGACCTTGACCGGGTTCTAGTGCCCAGGGCAGGAAACCTCCTCAGACCATCCCAGGCAAATTCAACTTTGGCTTGAAAACCTCTAGTATTGGCACCCCCGTGGCTTCAGGAGATAGGCTGTTCTACTGCTTAATACCACTCTTCTTTATTTTGTGCTTTTCTCTCTCTCTCTCTCTCTCTCTCTCTCTCTCTCTCTCTCTCTCTCTCTCTCTCCTGTGATAGCTGTTGCGTCTTAGGCTGAACATAGCCTAGTTTACGGTACCTTCCAGACCCCACCATATTTGACCAAGATGACAAGGAATGGTTCAGCTCATCCCTTGTCATCACATTTTCCCCATGCACGAGGGGTGGTGGTGGTGATCCTGTATTCTTTTACTGAGCTTGGAGCCTTCTGCTATGTGCAAAATATACCCAGTGAGTGGCCCTAGAGCACCCCTCTGAAGCCTTCGTTGAGGCACCCTTGGAGGCAGGGTCGTAGAATGGGACACCTTCAGGCTTGCTTTACTCTCTCCTCCTCTTCCCTGTATGCAGAGGGAGATACCGTGAGCACCTACTATGCGGTGGCAGTGGTGAAGCGAGCAACGTCTGACGTCTTCACCATCCATCAGTTGCAGCAGAAAAGGTCCTGCCACACCGGCTATGGGCGGATGGCCGGCTGGAACATACCCATCGGCCTGCTGTTGCGAAAGGGGTTCATTCAGCCCCAGGAATGCGACCTTCTCAAAGGTAAAGGGGGAGGGGTGACTGAAGACTGATAGGGCCCAAGCAAAAGCTCACAAGAACTGAGACAATCCTGGCAAAAGATCGGGAACAACTGAATAAGGAACAATCCAAAATTAGGCAACAAACCTTGTGAACTAAGAGCTGTTACGCCCAGGGATAACTTGGGTCTTGATGCAATTGCAGAGAGATGGTTCAGGGATTCCAATGTTCAGGGGTATGGGTACACAAGGCTGCATACTGTACAGAAAAGGCAGAATAGAAAAGAGTGTGTGTGTGGGGTTGCCCTTTATGTGAAGAAGGGCATGAAAAGCAACCCTAATTCAGAAAACTCATGGTCCACTCGTGAAGCCATCTCGGGGGCAACTGTTCTCTACATAAGACACGCAGTTGGGGGGGGAAAAGAATCCCCCAGCAGAGTATACAGTGTTGAGGGCTCCATGTTAGACAGAACCATAGTAGAAGAGGATTTAGGGTGCTCACAAGCAGAGGACGGCGACCCGAGTGTGGCCAGGCAATTGTGAAGGCAAACGAAATTCTGGGATGCATCCCGAGAGGGGATTCCCAGCAGGAAGAAGGAGGCCCCAATCCCTCCAGGGAGGAATTTAGTCAGGCCTCATTTGGAACACGTGTCTCCAGTTCTGGGGACGTCACTGAAGATCACTGATAAGGCAGAGCAAGTGCAGAGACGGGCAACAAAAATGGCACACTCTCTGAGGGGCAAAACGTTATCAGGAGAGATGGAAGGAAATGAACATTGTACGCCTGTACCTCTGGAGGACAGAAAGGAAAGGATGGGGGGCCATGATTGAAACATTTAAATATATTAAGGCTGTGAATAAGATTCTAGAAGACAGCATTTTCAATACTGAGCAAAAATCAAGAATATAGGGGTATAACCTCAGACTGACAGGAGGGAAGTTCAAAAGTCATGTGAGAAAGGATAACTTCAGAAAAGGAGTCGTGGAAGCTGGGAACCAACGTCCAGCGGCGACTGTGGGTCGATCTTCAGTGGTTCTCCTCAACAGTCGCCCTCACGGGCTCTCCCTGGCTCTGCTCTTCCGGTTTCAGCGGTGAGTGGCTTCTTCTCCGCCAGCTGCATTCCGACAGCCGAGAAGGAGGGCTACCCTGCCAACCTCTGTGAGCTCTGCATTGGGGACAGCCAAGGGAATTTCAGGTGCAACGCCAGCAGCCGGGAGACGTATTACGGCTACACGGGAGCCTTCAGGTAACCAGGCCAAGCGGCTTCTCTCCCACTTTTAGGAAGGAGCAAGCTTCACGCCTGTAGTCTGGACTAAGCCACTCGTGCCTGTCTGTCTGTCTGTCTGTCTGTCTGTCTGAGTGGTACTTCGGCATGGCCAGTACCAGGACGGAGAAGTGCTGAGTTTTATCTGCATTTGGGTGTCAAAAATATGTAGACGTTGCCTATTAAAAAAATAAGGAGGAGACAAAACATTCTCAGCATCAGCTAGCTTTGTCTAGGGCAGCGGTTCTCAACCTGTGGGTCGGGACCCCATTTGGGGTTGATCGACCATTTCACGGGGGTCGCCAAGCAAGGCTGTCCGCCATTTTTTTCCCCTTTTCCGGCGGGTGCCTTACCTCCCTTGGGCTGGGCCAGCTGGTGGTCGGCCTGCTCCGTCTCTGCCGCTTGCCAGCTACGCCTCGGCCGGCGCAGGGGGCGGAACCACACATGCGCGGCGCTCCCGGGCAGGGAAAGTCCTTGACCGGTTGGGTAGTCCTCGACTTACGACCGGTTTAGTCCTCGACTTACGACCGGTTGGGGGTTGCGGCATTAAAAAGGTTGAGAACCACTGGTCTAGGGCTTACTTTTTCAGCTGTGGGAGCAGTGCCTCTTGTACTCTGGCTACCATCTCTCCCCCCCCCAGCCCCCCAGCCCCCCAGCCCAGCTATCACCAGTCACCATGGTTGGGAGAGAGGAGAGAGCCAGCTTCCCTCTTCCCTGGAATAAATGGAAGCATTGTTTTGCAGAGAGGAGACAAGCAGGGTGCAGGGGCTGCTCTTGGGGCCCCTGGTTGCTCTGCAAGGCACCCTTCTGTGGGAGGCCCAGCCTAGCAGCACGCTTGCCTCCCCACACCAGAATGGCTAACAGGATTAATGTCCTCTTTGCAGATGCTTAGCAGAGGGTCATGGTGACGTGGCTTTTGTCAAGCACAGTTCAGTCTTCGAAAACACCGATGGTAGGTGGGCTCTTTTCTCACATGGCTGTGTTGATTGTCATGTCCGAAATGCTTCAGCCTCTCTTTCCTTCTTTCAGGGCACAATACTGATGCTTGGGCCTCAAGGCTTCGGTCTGGCGATTTCCAGCTCTTGTGCCCAAACGGTGCCCGTGCTGAAGTTCCCCAGTTTGCTCATTGTCATTGGGGCCAAGTGCCTCCTCGTGCCATTATGGTCCACCCAGACACCAGTGCCCTGGTTGTGTACGGGCTTCTGCGTAAGGCTCAGGTAGGCTTAGTCCGAGAAGTGGGGGGGGAGAGCCTGCTGCCTTTGAGCTGCTCCTCGTTTGCATGATGGGGCGATTAGCTTTTCTCCATTACTTTTTAGGAGGGTTCCAGTCTGGCTGGGTGAGTCTGCCATCACTAAGCAGGCTGGGAATACAAGACGAGGGACTTTACCACTAGATATTTATTATTATGAGGGACTTTACCACTAGCTTGTTATTGTTATTTTTAATAATATTATTTAATATATTTAATATTTAATATAATTTATTGTAATAAATAAAAAGCTAGTGATATTATCATTATTACCACTAGCTTTTTATTTATTATTATTTATTATGCTGTAGTTTCCTACATATTATAGGAAATAAAAATTAATCGGCTGGATTTCTACAATATGCTAACAAAACAAGGAAAAAAACATTGAAACAATCTAGCTGTGCTTCCTGTGCGAATGCAGCCAGCACTTTAGCAGACCCAGTTAAGCACGTTGAGTAAACATAATAGGCAAACTGAACTGTAGCTGTGGTAATGTCATTTTCGAACGATCATGTGGAATAGTTCCTCTATTCTGAGCCATTCAATTGTGTTTTGTCTAGATGTAATCCTGAGATGCAGAAAAAAAAATAGAATACTGTAAAAAAGAGTAAAGAGAATTCAAGGGATTTGAATTAAGTCCTAGAAGGAGAGATCCATGGAAGTGGATGTTTGAGAAGACTAAGAGAGGAGATCAGAACCTATTCTTTGCTATGTCATGTGCAACACCGGGGGGGTGTTGGGATTATGGGGCTGGAACAGCCTGTTCAAGGGCACTCTGGGGCTAGCATGGCTCTCTTGCAGCTCAACCTGCTTCCCAAGGTTGCTGCTGTAAGAATAAAGAAAGATCCACGTGTAAGTTGTCGCCTTGAGCCCCTGGAGAAATGGCAAGATAGAAATGCACGTACAATGGTCTTAGAGTGCAGGATACGGAACAATGGACTTAAGCCACAGGTTACCTGTTAGGATGGAAAGTTAGATCAAAGTCTTAAAAGTGAACAAAGGAAGAACAATTCCTTTCCTCCCCCATTATATAAAACACGTTTCTGGAACCAAAGTCCGTAACATAGGCAACACAGATATACTTCTTGGACAAGGGTTGTAAAAAAAAAAGCTTCTTTGTTCTTGATACACACAGCATTTATATGGGGAAGTGCAGGAACATGAAAGCTAGCCACATCACTGAGAAAGCCAGGCTGCCAGTCCCAGGGCCGGAGGGTCACCCCTGCACAGTCTGGAAGGAATCGGTTAGTGGACAGACAGGCTGCCTCCTCCTTACATCTACAGAGGCTCCTCTTTATCCAAGATGTTGGGTTTATCACGCCTGTTAATGGAGATTTCTTTCCCCACATACCACTGCAGCAACAGAATCAGAGGAGACAAAAACCATGGGGTATTTATTTGTATAGGCATAGCACACAATGTGGATACTGAATTTTCTGAGCCCAGTTTAGGGTTTGACACGCTTGGATGCTCATGCTCCCCGATGGCTGAAGCTGCCTGGGATCCGGACCAGCCTGGCTGCTCCCTTTTCTCCGAAGGGAAGAGGGCCTGGACAGGGTCCCCAGCAGCTCCTGGCAGAGAATGACCGTGGGCAGAGGGCTGTCAGAAAAAACTCTTGGGCTTAACTTTCAGGATTTCTTTGGTGATGACAACAACCCGAATGGATTTAAAATGTTCAGTTCATCAGAATTCCAAAAGCAGGATTTAATCTTCAAGGATTCCACAGTTGAAATTGTGCCAGTGGGAGAGAGAAGAACATTCGAGTCCTGGCTGGGGCAGCCGTTCCTGGACTCTTTAGAAGGCCTGGAATCCTCCCAGTGTTCAAGAGCTGGTGAGACCTTTGTGCTGTGGGACAGCCCCCCCCCCGCTCCATTTCCCGTTAACAAGGAAAAAGAAATTATTTAAGTAACAACTGCTAGGAAGACCCTTAAGTGTCTGGGCTGGTAATGTAGAGGACCTCCATTCCATTTATGGAAAGCCAGTCTAGAGACGAAAAATGACCCACATGCCTCTCTGAATGATTCAGGCCAGTCTCTTATTTCTTTCAGCTTTTAAGGACTGAATGTGTGGGGTATATGTGAGTTATACACGTAGGTAGTAAATAGTAGGGCTTACGTTTCACATGCAGCCAGTATTCCGTTCTGTTGCAACCATCTGCAATTAACAGATGCAGCAGAAGCCACGTACACGCCCAACTGCTTTCAATGTGGAAACCCACTTGGTCAAATCAAAATCAGCCATCCCGGGGTGAACTTCATAAATTCAGTCTGTAAGTTCAGTCTAGATTGCTGAGTCACTCAGGCTGACTCCATAAATTCAGTCTAGATTGCTAATATTTGTATGTTTTTATTATTGTTACACTCCAGCTTCCAAGCCTCCGAATGCGATTTTCCTGATGACAATTCTGACTCTTGCAACAATTTCCACTTTGTGAGCCACAGCTCAGGGGCAAAAGTACAAAACACAACCACAAGACTTAAAAATCTAAGCAATCCTCATGGAATCAATCAACGATTGTGGAATATTTAATTTTCCTCCCTGACTAGCCTAAATACTGTGGCATTCTAATTGACAAGCCAGCTTTTTAACCATGACGTATTGAGCAAATCATAGTGACCTTCTTTGCCCAAAATGCTGAGACATCATGGATGGACTTGGACATCATGTAAAATGAAGAGCACTGAAGCCAGATTGTGTGGTAGCGGGTGTGAATCAGGGCCTGCTCTAAACTGCCTTTTCATGACAACTGTCTCATTTGGGAGTCCGGGGCTTTTTTTCTTGGCTGTGTTAATCCGGAATTCATTACGGTATGCAATTCTCTTTGCTCTGGAACACAATAATTAATGTGCATGTTAAGTGACAGGAGATTCTTGTGGACTAGAAAGCATGAAGAGTACAAAGAGCAGATACCAATGGAGGAGAAGCGCAGACAGACCAGCACGGATGATCTTTCTGCCAATACTGCTTTGGCCATACCTGTGGCTCCACCAAAGACAAAAAGGCTGGAAATGCTCCCCCTGCGGCCGTAGGATCCGACCTCAGCAGATAAAACAGGCTGATTGCAGGACAGACTGTTTTTGATGTGGCCCATTCAATAGTCTTACTTGCTCATAGGAGCTGTAAAAGCCTCAGTGTGTTTTGTAGATGTGAGATAGAAATATTTTTAAATTAAAAAAATACTACCTTTAAATATAACAAAAGAAAAAGAATAACAACCAATAGGAAATTAAATAATATGGGAACTAAAAAAAAATAGGGTTAAAAAATAAACAGAAAAAAGAAAAGCTATGCATTTGTATCGTGGAGCTGGGTCAATTGGAGTCAGGCTGTATCCAAGTAGAATAAAATAAATACATAAATAAATCAATTTTAATTAAATTAAACGATCGCATAAAATTGTATCAATCAGTTTTCCATCTCACTGGTAGAAGCTCAATTTGTGAATAGAGTATGCATGTCTTTCATCTGGCTATTAAATTACATGTACTACGGAAGTCTTTCCACCGGAATAAAACAATTCTCCTAACTCACGACTGCACACACTCCATTCTCCATTTGATAGTTTCCAAATTTTCAGAATATTATTTAGCATCATGTTCCACCTTTGAGCCCTCCTTTCTTTCTCAACCCCTGTTTTCAATGTTCCAAATTATGTCCCTTCTGTTATGCTTCCAACGAAGGCTGAAATCTCAGCTTCGCTCCACGTGCTCAGGAACACCCAGCAGACTGAAAATGTGTGGAACTGGATCACTCTCATTATTTCAAACGACTTGAAAGTTTCCCTTGTCAATAGTAACCCTTCTGGTCAGGCAGGAGATCCTATACCCTTCCAGACGAGTGACTGTCCAGTCTCTTCTTTAAAATCTCCAGCCCACGACTTCTGGAGGCAACTGGTTGATTGTTCTTACTGTCAGGAAATTAATCCTTAGTTCTAGGTTGCTTCTTTCTTTGGTCAGTTTCCATCCGTTGCTTGGGCGGTCGCCTGCTTTTGAACGGCTGAGTTGGCAGGAACAGGAGCATGTGATGAGAGCCCACCCCATTCGGCAGCAGCAACCGGGTCTTGGACACAAGCCTGCCTGTCACCCTATCAGCATCCTAACCTCATGGATCACCACGCCCCTGCAGATTTAGCTTACCCAGCACAATCCACCCAATTTTAAACTACAATATTATAGGTGTCTGGTAAAAACCATGACAGTGGCACCACTGGTCAAGTAAGATCCACTGTATATGCATCAAAACTTGCAGAACATAATTTTATCTTGTGAATGATGACAGGTGCATATGACGTTGCCTGCACCCAAATGCTGCTGTATGCCTAGTTAGTGATCCATTCATTGTTCTTGCTGATTCAGTGGCCACATTTGCTTAACTGACACATATGGGCCAATTAATTATCTAGCACATACTTAGGCACAACGGCGTCGGGGTCTTTTTTTAATGGTTTAATATCTTCGTCAAATTCTGTCTATTTAGTCAGGTCCCACTTTATTATTAAAGTAACAATAATTAAAAACATGGTACGAACAGAGGCGATTAGACTTCCAATTCAGGCAATTTTCAGGCAAAATTTCATGGGCCTCTTGGGTGCTTAATTCCTCCCAGCCCTTTAGGGCTTCCTTTCTTCGGAGGATCTCGCTCGCTTTACGGTTCTATCCATCGAACGTCGCTTCTCGCATCTCTCGTGGAAACGCTGCCGGCTCCGATTAAAAGGCAAACCGGCTTCGCCCCCCCCCCTTCCCCGGTTCCAATGCGGCGACGGCGTTTCTGCAGCGCTTAAAGTCCGCTCGAGGAGCCCGAGAAGCTCGCGGGCGCTTTTAGGATCCAGATCCGCTCCGGGTTCAGGATCGCGTCCCCATCCGGAGAAAAGGGGAGGGTGAACCCGCTGCTGCACTGAGAGCCGCCCGGTCTGCCCAGCAGGAGCCTCGCCGGGCGGCCTTCCGGGCGCAAACCCGGGCCTGCTGTCCGCAGCCCTCCGCCGCAGGGGGACGCCGGGGGCTCTCACCGGGGAGGGGCGGGGGGCGCGGCCCCCTCCGCAACGGTCCTGCCCCCGCGCCGTCTCCCACGCGGAGGGGGGGTCCTTCCTTCGCCGTCGCCGTCGCCGTCGCCCGGGGGTGGGAGGGAGGAGAGGCTCAGCTTGGCCCGCAGGGAGGGGGGGGAGGTCCGTCCCCCTGTCTCCGCCGGGAGGGTCCCGCGGGGGTGGGGGGGCGCCAGGGGGGCCGCGCGCGAACCGCTCCGGCTCCAGAGGGGGGGGGAAGCAAACGACGCCGAATCCGGCAGCCCCGCCTCTCCACAGTTTCTACAGAAAGCGGGGGGGGCTCACGGGCTCCGCCCCTTCTTCGACCCGGGGGCGCGAGGGGCCCACCCGGCGTCCTTGGCGCGCGCCGCTTCCTCCTTCAGCTCGCGCAGGAAGGTTTCGCGCAGGCGCAGTCCGCGCGTGAGGGCCGCAGCCGTGAGGCGCGCCGCTGCCCGGATGGGCCGCGCCTCGGCCAGCCGGTCCAGGAACCGAGGGTCGTTCAGCAGGGCGAAGAGCAGCCGGCGCAGCACCATCGTCGCCCGCGGGGCCGCCTTCCGCGAACTTTTCTTGCCTGAGGCGTCCCGCCGGCAGGCCGTGCGCGCTGCTGTGTCCCCGGGCTGCGGGGCTGGCGTGGGCGGAGTAGCAGAAGCAAAGACCACCCCGCCCAGTTCTGTAAGGGTGACCTTCCAAGTATGGCCGACTTCCTGTCTGCCACTTCCCAGTATTTCCCGACTTCCTGTCTCCGTATGCCAGCGGCACAGCACCGGTGGTGATGGTGACGCCCCCCCAGCGGTTGGGAGGCCGGATGTTTTTGCACTCTCTTCGATTTCGGCTTTGGGAAAACGAGGGGCCCGAATGAGGAACATAGAGCTTCTATCCAAGAAGCTTCTTCAGCTCTGACCAGATGGTGGGGAATGGAAGGATTTATACTCCTTACAGACAGCTGGTCATGTTGAGGCCACCTGGAGGTTTGTCTGTATCCTCAGGGTCACCTGAGTGGTGCAAATGGGGGTGGAGCCTTCTTGGAACTTCTTGGAAAGAGGAGTCAAAGAGGCCATCTATGTCAAAATTGAACAGCCCTCTCTCAACAAGAGGGGAAGGGATACAACACCATCTATTTCCATTCTACAACACAGTCCTTTCAACAGCTCCAACAAGGCTCCACACCCATTTGCACCACTCAGGTGATATATATCAGATATACCAGCGACAAGGGGTCCAAATTTGGGTACGCTGATGATTTGGCCATAAAAGTGCAAGGAAAACAGACTGAGATGGCAAATATTTTACTGTGGTTTTAATCTAGGTGAAATGTTAATACAGGTGGTCCTTGACTTACAACAGGTTGTTTAGTGATCATTTAAATTTACAATGACAGTGAAAAATATGACTTCCTCATGATCATGTGATCAAAATTCAGATTGCTTGGCAACTGGTTCATATTTATGACGGTTACCGTGTCCCTCCTGAAAAAGCACCTTTAGTTCAACAACTTGGTTTTTCCCTGCCACCTTTGTCCAAAGTGAGACAGGATTAGGAAGGGCAGGAGATTTCTTCCCGTTCTCTCCATATCGTCGGAAACAGCCTGCCCACTGCCCAGGTATGCAAGAAGGAAAAGTGGGTCTCTCAGGCAACATGAGACTTGAGTCTTTGCAGAGTCTGGCTTGCAATTTTGCTGACCTCCCCCTTTCACAGCCGCATTCACTGATGTAGCAGCCCTGTGGGCCAGGCAGAAGGGCAGGAGCAGTGGATAAAGGAGGTTCTGCTCCCGGGATTTCCTGGCTAGAGCGCCCACCGGATGGGTGACCTGCCCTGCTGTGGCTGTTAAGAAGGAACTCAGAAAAACAGACAAGTTGTCCTTGAGGATTTTTTTTTGTTTTTTGCCAGTTTCGGTGAGGTTAAGGCTTTTCCTTTTAAGAGATAGGGATGGAAATTGAGTAAGGTTGGGAGCCAACTAAAAGCCGCAAGAGGCAGCGGGAAACCCGGTGGGAGGTTGTGATTCGCCACCACTCTAAATATTGCAGCTTTGGTGGGGAATAGCAGGA